CAAATAGATCTTAAGAGAGAGGATGTTGAGAGGATGGTGAGAGAGTTGCTAGGTGGAAAGAGAAGGAAAAAGATAAAGAGAAAAGTCATAGAGTGGAAGAAGTTGTGTGCAGAGGCTACACCTAGTTTTGTTGGATCAGAGGTCATTTAGAAACATTTAAGACCATCTCCAACGGTTCACTAAAGTTGACATTAAATTTAAATTTTAATGAAAAAGTTACTATTTACTACTCCAACGGTTGCACCAAATCGATATCAGATTGAGATTTCATCAAACAATTCATCAAACATCAAACAATTCATCAAACTGAGGACAAGATACTGATTTCACCAAAACACTGTTTGTGACCGTTGGAGGGAGGACCCGATCGACTAACCGGTTGCCCGGCCGGTTGACCAACCGGTCGACCGAATTCCTTTCAAATAGGTTGGTTCAAACCGGTCAAAAAAGGTTCAAACAGGTAAAAAAAAAAAACGTTTTGCCTTACCGGTTGACCGGCCGGTCAACCAACCGGTCAACCCACCAAAACCAAAACAGAGATGAAGTTGTTCTGGGTAAAAAAAAAAAAACATTTTGCCTTACCGGTTGACCGGCCGGTCAACCAACCGGTCAACCCACCAAAACCAAAACAGAGATGAAGTTGTTCTGATTACATACCAAGTTCTTGATGAAGATGATGTAGCTGTATGTTAACAATTACATGCCAAAACCAAGCTGTATGTTAACAATTACATACCAAAACAATCAATCAAGTTCTTGTTTTGAATCAAAAACCCATTTCGATTCTGGTCTTGTTTGCGTATATGATGGGCACAATTGTATCCAGATAATTTTGGGTTTCCTTTGGGTGTTTCACAGAATTTGATGGAGAGTGGTTATGGAATCAATGAGCTCTGTTTCAATTTTTCTCAGAATTTGATGGAGAGTGGTTATGGAATCAATGAGCTCTGTTTCAATTTTTCTCAGAATTTGATGGAGAGTGGTTATGGAATCAATGAGCTCTGTTTCAATTTTTCTCAGAATTTGATGGAGAGTGGTTATGGAATCAATGAGCTCTGTTTCAATTTTTCTCAGAATTTGATGGAGAGTGGTTATGGAGAGTGGTTACGAAAATGTTTCAAGCTGCAAAAAAATATATATATATTTACGCTTACCGGTCGACCCACCGGTCGACCAACCGGTTGACCTACGGGATTTGATGCACTGTTGGAGCTACTGATATCAGATTTGGTGAAATGAGTCATTTTTACTCAGATTTGGTGAAAAAAAAAGTTCACCGTTGGAGATGTTCTAATTCATAATTATTATATTTTTTTATATAAAAAAATTAAAAATATTTTTTAAATTAAATTTTTTAGCCTCAAGTTAAAATAGTCAAAAATAAAAAACCTAACCACTTCCTAAATGAAATCATAAAAAGTCAAAAAAGTTCTAAAAAAAAGTCAAAAAAATTAACTTTTAACCATCTTTTTAAAACACCTTTTAAAGGACACTTTGGGTAATATCTATATAATAAGGCACAAAGCTTTTTGAAAAATATATCAAAATGTATGTGAGATACATTTTGATCCAATGGCTGAGATCAATCCCAAATATATATCAATGGTTGGGATGTGTTCAAACACCCTCTCCTCTCTCTCCCACGCCTACCAAACACGGCTGCCTCTACCCAAACGTTGTCCTCAACTCCCTCTCCCTCTCTCTCTCTCTCTCTCCCTCTCCCTCTCCCTCTCCCTACTGTGCTTCACAACCGATCTGAGATCAGATAGCATTGCTGAAGGACGTCATCAATGGCTGAGATGTGTTCGATCTAGGGCTTGATCTGATCGATCTTCGGAAGGAGGTCGAGATCTGGCGTTCCGATCACATTGCCCATTGGAAATTTCGACTTCTTTGGTTATTGGTTCTACCTCCTGAAGTGCCCAAACTTCTTCCTAAGAATCGCCTTCTCTCTGAAGTAAGTAATTAGGGTTTAAAGAAAATGGAGTGGAATAGAAATTTAATTAGGGTTTAAAGAATCGCCTTATTTCTAGGTTTTCGCCTTCTCTCTGAGATAAATAAATCAAATTACTTGATTTTGGTTTTATTTCACATTTGAAATTTTCTACTGTGTTCGATCTGTTCACATTCCAGTAGAAATAAATCAAATTTTCGCACTGTGTTCGATCTGTTCACATTTCACACTTGATTTTGGTATATGAGATAAATAAATCAAATTTTCGCCTGTTCACATTCCAGTAGAATAGAATTGGCTGAGATGTGTTCGATCTAAATTTCGCCATTTATCTCAGTAGATCAGTTTGGGCACTTCAGTATTTGAATTGGCTGAGATGTGTTCGATCTAATATACATTTCAACTCCGAAGTGCTCTAAAAATGGTAATGTGATCATATATTTTTGGATTTATCAAATTTCGAAGAGGTATGTTTGGCTGCTAAAGTATTTGAATTAGCGATTTATCAAATTTCGAAGAGGTATGTTTGGCTGCTAAAGTATTTGAATTAGCAAGTGTTCTAATAATTTAGATCTACTGAGATGTATTAGAACACCTGCTCTATAAAAATATATGATTTATCAAATTTCGAAGAGGTATATTTTTGGATCTAAAGTATTTGAATTAGCAGGTGTTCTAAATTTCACATTTCAGGTATATTAGACATGTGTTCTGTTTGGCTGAGATGTTGAAATGTACTTCAGTTCTGTTTGGCTGAGATGGTATCATATATTTTTGATACACTTTTGATGGTATCATATATTTGATAATTTTTTATGGTAATGTGATCGAACATTTCACTTCGGAAGAAAACAGGGGTTTGATTTATTTGATAATTTTCACTTCCGAAGAAATACATTTCAACTGATCAGTCTAAATTTGATAATATAAAAATTAGAATATACATTTCAACTCCGAAGTGCTCTAAAAATTTAAACTGATCTAATTTTCACTTCCGAAGAAATACAGTTTGGGCATTTCACATTCCATCATAATTGGCTATGATATGACTCCGAAGAAAACCCCTGTTTCGCCTCTCTCTCTCTCTCTCTCTCTCTCTCGCATTCGGTGTTTCTCTGCTTCTGTTACTTTCTCGGAGTCATGTGAACAGGTATGCTCTGTTTCTCTGCTTCTGTTTCGCGACCTTTTCTTGAATTTCTAAATTCTAGGGCTTATTTGGTTTCTGTTTTAGTCAACCAACACTCACCCCCTCAAGAATTCAAGTTTCTTTTTTAGTATGTGTACTTTTCTGATAATTGTTCGAATTAGTGAGAGAAAGCTGAAAGGTAAATTGGGTTTTTTTAGGATAGCGAGTATGATTTTATTTTATTTTATTTTTTAGTTTGTAAAACTTTTCTTTTTTTTCTTTTTTTTTTAATTTGCTGCTCATTTATTGCTGTCAAACTAAATCCGTAAATTTGAGAGGCCCATTGAACTTTGTGGCTCATCGCATTCAACATTCCCTTCAAAATTTTGTGTCAGACCCCTTGAAGAATCAACATTAATACCCTCAATCTTTATTGAAGTTTATGGGTTCTTCTGGGTCTGCAATTCAATATGAATAGTTATACAACATTTTTGCTTCTGGGTACTGAATAGTGAAGACCGAATTTGCTTTGATGGGTGTTCTTCCAATGAATTTGGTTTTTTTTTTTTAATATCAGCTGCTTATGACAAGGAAGGTTTCGACTAAATTTAGACGTTTTAGGCATTTTAAATTAGAGCTACCCTTAAAAAATTTTGGGTCTGAAATGTATCATGATTGGCAATGAGCTTTTATTTTGTTCACTTATTCTTTATTCTTTATTTTTAATTTTCCACAAATTTAATATCCCAATACAACATCAAGGAACCGGCAAGGACTGCTAAATATGTAGCTGAAGTGTTATTTGGGGTTAGACCCAAATGTTTCTCTGCTGAATGGAACCATTAAGAGCACTACAATTTATATATAGAAAAATTAATGTGGTTTTTTCCACATATTTAATATCCCAATACAACATCAAGGAACCGGCAAGGACTGCTAAATATGTAGCTGAAGTGTTATTTGGGGTTAGACCCAAATGTTTCTCTGCTGAATGGAACCATTAAGAGCACTACAATTTATATACAGAAAAATTAATGTGGTTTAAATTCATTATTGTTGTAGTCTTCACATTACCTAGAATCAATTTGCATATTGATTTTGTATGTGGTTTAAATTAATGTGGTTTAAATTCATTAAATTCATTATGTTTTTCTGATTTTTATGCGTACATGGAATTACTGTCGTATTTAATTTAGTTTTGGGATCTTTCCAATTATATAACTCTCCATAAGAAATTGATGTTTTATTTTAGATCTTTAAATTTATTATTAGCAACACATTTAATTATCTATTTCTTGGCGAATTTTAATTGAAAGAACAAGAATTTTGTTTACGAAAGATAGAGGGTAACTCTTCTAGATTAATGTTAAAGACTTGCACTTTGGAATTTACAATTCATTTGCAATGACATCGCAATGGAGTTGAGTTACATGATTGAATTTGTAATAAATCAAAAGTTAATATGTAATCTGTCATATCATTACATATAAAATTAGAAGAGATTGTTTTTTATTGGTGTGAATTCTTTTTCCAATTATTATTATTTTGTTTGTTTGTTTGTTTGTTTGTTTTGTTTTTTTTTAGGACGTATACATTGACCACTTCCCATCATTTCTCCCCTTATTTTATTAAGGGTAGCTCTAATTTAATGGATAAATAAAAAATATTGGAAATAGCATATTAGTTGCTTTTTAAGAACAATAATTAAGAAATTGAGGTGATTCACCTACAAAGTGGCTTATCAAACAATGTCAGCTACTTCATACGTTAAAAAATACTAAGAAAAATAATATATAGATCAAGAATTCAAACACAAAACAAATGTTAATAAAGTAATGTATGTTTTAAATTCACTTCACATGTGAATTCGACTGTAACCGAGTTAAACCACACACTATTTAATTTAAATTTTTTTTTTTTTTTTTGATATACTATTTAAGGCTATATTTGTTTGGGTATACTACATAATTTCTCTTAAGTAGTTTTATGAAAAATCATCTAACCTTTGTAGGTCGATTGATTGATCCTGAACATTTTTGGCTATTTGATCACAACTTTGAGACACTTTTCATAAAACATTTTTATGATCGTTAACATTTTTGCAACACATAGACTGTAATATAAGAACTTTATTAGATAGTGCCTTCAGGCACGGGCAATCTCTGTTATTTTTTAAAAAGGTGTTATTTTTAAAATGAAAGTGGTATTTGATGAATCTTTTTTCTCTTTGTTTCACTTTTTCAGGTTGGTGATGATATACGGACGATGATCCAAGTTAGGTTTTTTTTCCAATCAATTTGTTTCGTATGAATAAAAATTTCAGCATCGACAACCACCCTCCCTTCGAACTCGCACTCGCAAGGTTCGATTTCTGCCTCTCCCCTTTCGTAGATCAGTTTATTACTTCTTTTAATTAATTTCAATAAACTTCTTGATTTCTAATTTCGTAGATCAGTTTATTGCATTCCAGTAGATCAGTTTATGGCTATGTCTGGTTTGTCTATATGGTTGCAACACCACCACCGCTGCTCATCATCACCACTGCCGCTGTTGATGCAAAACCCACTTCATGCTCAAACAGAATGTGTTCAAGGAAAGCTTCAAGTAAAATTCTTCAATACTTTGAAATAGACCACAGCTCTATTCATACTTTTTTTATTTTTTTATTTCTCAATCAATAAGTAACTAATTATAAATACGAAAAATATTTATATTATCAAACAAATCACTAACTCATACTTTTGTACAGTATTATTACTATTTTTTTAAATAAGTTTTAAACATCCAATACAGACTCAACACAATGTATGCTACAACACTATGGATTGGGAATCAAATCACAGTGAACATTTTGAGTTGTGTATTGTATGTGTTTGTTTGAACCTACATGGAAGGAAGCACATGCGAATTTGGGACAGTGACTGCATACCCTTTCTCTTTCTTTTGATTTTTTAAGTATCTACTGTATTGTTCTGCATGCTAATTTTGTAATTAAGTTCTGATGTCAAACTTAAACATTTCAATTGACTTAAACCCACTTCATATTGTATTGCTTTGCATGCTACATCCTTTCAATTTTCTCCCACAAAAGCACCCTGTCACAATTATATATATATTTTAATCTTAATTTATATATTCCTTGCCTTCTATAGCTCCTACAGTATTACCTACACTTCCTTCACTGGGACAAACTTCATATATTATACCAAGGGATTGTTAATAGTGTATTATTTGCTTCTTTTGACAGTGGCATATATTCTTCAACCTTGAATAGATTTAATTTTTTGAATTGGATATTTTGATGGCTATACTAGAAATGTATCAATGTGCTCTATCTTCATTTATTTGTTTTTTTGAATTAATGATTGAAGGCTGAATAGTGATCTTTGAAACATAAACTTGACACGCAGACATGGCCATAATGCAAATGAAGATGTTCACTTGACAGTGAGGAAATCTACAGCATGTCCGCATTTGAATATGAGAAATATGGGATTTGTTACGCTACACTAGATGTAAATTATAGTATTTATGGTGCATATATGGTGGTGAAAATCCATTAGAAAAGGAGATTGTAAACTTAAGACTAGGGAAAGCTTCGAGTAACTCACTTAGAGATCAATTAAAATTTGTTATTTAAAATATTAACATATAGTTCTGGGACAGCTACTGAAGATTAAAGTTGGTTTTGTTGGTTGTTGTTTATGTTGGTTGTTGATTTACTTGATAGATAGTATAAATTTGTTTTGTTTTTTTGTTTTTGTTTTGTGGCATAAATTTATGTTTGGACTTTCTAAATGATAAATGGTGAACTTCAAAATACTTATGATTATAACGAATTTTGATTTTGGTTTTAATTTGAATTGGATACTTTGATGATGGTTATACTAGAAATGTATCAATGTGCTCAATCTTCGTTTATTTATTTTTCTTAATTAATGATTGAAGACTAGATAGTCATCTTTTAAACATAAACTTGACATGCAGATCTGGCCATAGAGCAAATGAAGATGTTCACTTGATAGTGAGGAAATCTCTAGTCCTCGATTTCTGCCTCTCGAACTCGGCTCGCAAGGTAGTCCTCGGTTTCTACTTCTCCCCTTCTCTCTCTGTTGGGCTGTGTGTTTTTTTTATTATTGCGATTTCTGATGTTGTTTGGTTAATTTTAGTGGTTTTTTTGAGTTCATTGTGAAATTCGATTATATTTGATTGGATGTTATTGTTGCTGTTGTTTATATTCATGTTATTATGTGTACGAATTTTTTCCCGGAAAAAAGTACCCATAAAGTGCCTTCAATTTATAAATGTGGTTTCACACAATCACAACACCTTCGATCTTCCTTACCATTGCCAGACTTGGCTTGGAGAATGAGATTTAATTATTATGGTGTTACCCTCCCTCCGAAATTTCGACAATTTTTACTTTATTTTTAACAGGAAATTTCAACATTGTCGAGGAAACATCATTGTATCAGTGAAGTTTCGGGTCAGTTCTTATCCTTGAGACAGTGAGTCTTCGCCAAAGAGTTTTTAGATTTGATACATTGATTTCAATAAATTTCTTGATTTCTAATTTATCTTATTTGAAATATTGCATTCCAGTATAAAAATTGTTAATTTCTGCGTTTGATATTAAAGATTTAGATTTTGTAACAATATTATCTAATGTAAAAATGTGAAACAGCACATCTAGCAAAAAATCAACTCAAACAGAAAGGAAACAAGTCACCAATTCCTTTGTTGTTTTTCAGCTATGTTAACTCACAATTTCATTATTCTTTTTTGTTTTCCTCAAAGATGTTTGGTTCATAGAATTGTACAGCATTTGAGGATAACAGAGTATTTAACAATTCTTCCAAATTTGAGTTTGAATTCCCAAACGAGGCACAACTCTTGATAAAACAATGTAACCAAGAACAATAAAATGGCTGCATCATTCACAAAATAAAAATTCAATGATATGATCAATTTTTTTTAATATGATATCACCGTTATATTAATTTATTTTTTTTTAACGTCCAATGCCCATTTACAAACGAATAATAGTGTGATAAGTAAATTTGTTTATCTTATATCATGGCTCAACACAATCCATATGTTGCACATATTGTTTTAAAGTTTGGCAACTTAATTTCAATAGGACTTCTAATATAATATATCCTTTTAGTCATGGGGGAACCAAAATTTAAAGCTTAAATTAAAAAAAAAAACTATCCATGCATTCTTCTTTAATTGAATTGTCATTTGTGCTTCTATTTTATTGCACTTTTCATCAGGTTTATTTAAGAAAATTAATTCCATGATTGTATCCATAAATCCTATATCACATCTCTCTTGCTTGCTTTGTATCTTCAAGTGATTAACAGGTTTCTTGATTTCTTCAGTGCAATGGTATTTTAAAGTGCGTAGGTTTCTTGATTTCAAATTTAAAACTCTCTCTCTTTTCTCTCTCTCAGCTTTTGTTGTTTCCTTCTTTCCCCCATCAGAGCTCACTCCGGTAAGTTATTTCTCTCAGATTTTGTTGTTTCACTCCTCTCCTTCTTTCTCTTTCAGCTTTTGTTGCCCTCCGTGAAATTTATAATTTTAAAGTTGCCCTTTTGTTCTCTATTCTGTTTAAAATATGTAGAAATTCAAACATGTCTACAACTCCAGATATTGATTATTCTTTGTTTTTCCTTTTCCCCTCCCGTTTCTGCCTCTGCTACATTAATTTTGTTTCCTAGCTCTTTGATTTACACATTATGATGAGAAGGTAGGCCAATGTAGCTCTTTTTTATTTTTTAGATAACTAAATGAAGAATTATGTTCGAAATCAAAATTACAGCGCTGATAGGAAGTTGACTGACTGGAATACAGGGAGAAACTAAGCCTGGGCGCAAAACACTTCTCCTGATGATGGTTTATTAGATAGACTTATGCCACTGGGACACCCAAGTATGTGTTCCATCAGTGCAATGGTGTTTTAAAGTGCGTAAGTTTCTTCATTTTTCATTCAAAAATTTTAAATATGATTCAAACTCCAAGGTTTATTTGGTAGCACATTGTTGTTCATTGTTAGTTTTCAAATAATTTCTTCTTCCCTCTTGCTTGCTTTGTATCTTCAAGTGATTAACAGGTTTCTTGATTTCTTTAGTGCAATGGTATTTTAAAGTGCGTAGGTTTCTTGATTTCAAATTTAAAACTCTCTCTCTTTTCTCTCTCTCAGCTTTTGTTGTTTCCTTCTTTCCCCCATCAGAGCTCACTCCGGTAAGTTATTTCTCTCAGATTTTGTTGTTTCACTCCTCTCCTTCTTTCTCTTTCAGCTTTTGTTGCCCTTCGTGAAATTTATAATTTTAAAGTTGCCCTTTTGTTCTCTATTCTGTTTAAAATATGTAGAAATTCAAACATGTCTACAACTCCAGATATTGATTATTCTTTGTTTTTCCTTTTCCCCTCCTGTTTCTGCCTCTGCTACATTAATTTTGTTTCCTAGCTCTTTGATTTACACATTATGATGAGAAGGTAGACCAATGCAGCTCTTTTTTATTTTTTAGATAACTAAATGAAGAATTATGTTCGAAATCAAAATTACAGCGCTGATAGGAAGTTGACTAACTGGAATACAGGGAGAAACTAAGCCTGGGCGCAAAACACTTCTCCTGATGATGGTTTATTAGACAGACTTATGCCACTGGGACACCCAAGTATGTGTTCCATCAGTGCAATGGTGTTTTAAAGTGCGTAAGTTTCTTCATTTTTCATTCAAAAATTTTAAATATGATTCAAACTCCAAGGTTTATTTGGTAGCACATTTTTGTTCATTGTTGGTTTTCAAATAATTTCTTCTTCCATATGTTTGTGTTTTTTATTATTATTTTTATTTATTGAGTTGGCCTTCCATGTGTTTTGTATTAGCCACAACTGGTTGCATATGTAATGCTTGATAAAAAGGTTCAGTTAAGAGGATCATTTGCTTACATATGTATTATCATGTGCAACGTCTCCTATTTGGAACTCTAGAACCTTTGTACACTTGAGAAAAGTCTAATATCTATATTCAAACATATTATTGTGATTTGTGAATAAGGTACTGCAAGTCCAAGGAAAAATCAAACACTGAATTTTCATTATTGATGAGTTGGTTTTTTTAACTTTTACGTTTGATTCATTGTTTCTAGATTTATAGATGTTCATTTATGTGATTTTTGTGTAGTTAGTTCAGTTTATAGTTGTAGCAAATTTTGAAAATATTTCTCTTATATTTGGTTAGAATGGTTTAGATAATCCCAACTAAAAAGTGAAGCGTTGAGATTTTTTTCACTCTCTCACTATTTCCATTTCTCTCTTCTTTCTCACCATACCTCTTCTATCTTCTATTGACTCTTTCTCTTCTTTTCCTACACCTACAACACTGTTGTTCACCCCTAAGCCATCACCGACTCTGTTCGCCTCACATGTGCCTCCTCCGCATCCCCTTCATTCCCTGCTAATGATGTCGCCCCCAGTGGCAATGGATGCCTCCCAAACCTTTTTTTTTTTTTTTTTTAATCTTTTTCCCATTTGTATCCTTTTTCCCATTTGTTTTCTTTACACCATGCTTTTAGGTACGGGCATACACTAAATTTTCTTTACACCGTGCCTCCCAAACAATGTATGATGCTAAATTTTCTTTAGGGAATTGACCCACAATGCCTAAAATATTGTTCTGTTGCTATACATGGTGTAATTGGTATTGTTTATGCATTTGTATTTGTTGTATAGGTACTTTAACTCATTGCAGAGTGAATGCTTTTCTGCCTGTTTCCAATCTGATGTAAATATGGTCATTTCAGCACCAACGGGAAGTGGAAAAACAATATTTTTTGAGCTTTGCATTTTGAGACTGCTCTCAAGGTTCATCTCTACAGAGGGAAGATTTATTCACTTAAAGCGAATGCTTAAAACAGTAGGCTTTCTACAATTTTGTATATGAAAAATTTTTAGATGTTTATTTAAACACTGAAAAGTGCAGAAGATTATTGATTTTACACCTACAGATGTTCTTTATTTCATTAACTTTGTATTGTTGGTTGGTTTTGGGAATAAACTCCTCATGTTGCGGAAGGAATTTTGTTATTATTTGATTTATATACAGATATATAATATATTTTTAGGGTCTATTATACCTTATTGTCTGACTGATGAGGTCTATTATAATTGTTAAATCCATAATTGCTTCAACAGTTGAAATCTTTTCCTGTATGCGTTCACATTTATCAGTGATTAGAAAAGGGATGTACCTTACAAAACATTTACAGTAGTATTTAGTCCTTACATAGGTGTTTCCATGATTTTATATATCTGTTGTGTTACATAAGGTTTGAACAAAATATATATGGTCTCTCTGCACCATTAGTAAGTTGTTGTACTTGATTTTTTCTTATTTCCATGTGGTGTAGATTGTGCTGAGAATATATTTTTTAAAATCTCATGTGACCATGTAGGCAAGTTAAATTTTTTTTTTCCCCTTATATTTTTTCTCATGTAGTTTTGGGTTTATAATTTGCAAAGAACTATTACAATGTTGAGTTGTGGCAATAGCACTAGCAAGTGTGCATTGCTTGGTGTTTAAAATTAATTTTTTTTAAATTACAAAGTATTGGTTGGTGTGCGTTTCAATTTTAATTTTTTTATAGATTATAGAGCACTGGTCGGCATGCATTGTTTGGTATTTCAATTTTAATTTGATTTTTTTTTTTTGTAATTGTCAAGCATTGGTTGTGCATTGTTTGGTGTAATTTTTTTTGGATTATTGTGTTAACAAATGTACAATATCTTTGGTTTGTGCGTTTCATTTTGTATCTATAAATTTTTTTTTTTTTTTTTGACTTGCTTGGTAAGGATGCTTTTATTTTTAATTTTTGTGTTGATATGAAGTTTATGCTTTAGAGTCATAAAGTTTGTTAATAAAATCAAAATGTTTATGATTGAGTTACTTGCCGTACTTTAAATAGTTGATTAGGAAATGTTTATTTTCAAGTTTTTTAAAAAAAAAAAACTTTTCAAAATTAACCAGACCTTGATTTATATTTTGACTTTAATTTTTTAGCAACAAATGGAATAAATTATATTTTAACCCAACAATTTTATATTCAATTACATTTTGATTTTATTATTATTTGCACCGTGCCTTTAGGCACGGGCATACACTAGTATATATATACATCATCTATGTATAATCTATATGTATATATTGGTATGTTGCTAGCTATCAAGGATGGAAATTCAACCCCTCTTTCTGTCTCTAACCTCACTCTTCTGTCTCTTCGTCCTCTTTCCACACTCAACAGGTTTCATCTATACCCTTTTTTCTTAATGAATTTTTGTCATTTTGTTCTTTTTAAGTTCTACTGTTTCTTACAACACCAATGTCACGACATTATAATTCGAAATTTGTGAAAACATTTGAAATGTGTGAATCAGTTATGTATATTTTGAGTGTGACATATAATAAATAAACCAAATCAAACCAAACCAAGTTTTAAATCCCATCAAATGGGATTAGTTACATGAATTCTTTTTCTTCACGCGATCTTATCAAATGTTATTTCGTTAGTCAAGTTAAGTAAATTCATATCTCTATTAACAATGTTAGCCAACGTTAATTTAAGCCTATCTCATCCACTAACACTTCCCTCTACCATTACAGTATTGCATCTCTTCACTACTACCTGCTGTGACATATAATAAATACCCTGTTTAATTTTGTACAATAAAAATAAATTTGATAACGTTTTTTGAATACACAACATTTATGTTCTGACAAAGTTCCTAGAATAAATTACACTGAGTTTCTGTAATTTCTCTTTTATGTTAATTTAGTACTAATAATTACAATTGCATCAGTTTATCATTGAAATTTTAGAAATTAGATAAAAATTAAAGAACAAAATAGTTTACTGTGTGATTAAGGTGTTAGCGTCAAATTTGAATTGTCTATTTCTTTTTGAATCAATAATATTAAAGAACACAAATGCAACTCACAGAAATTATATATAAATGTGAGATTTACGACGAATTTGACGGCATGTTTTTATCTATTTTTTTTTTAAATAATGTTATGTGTACTAACTAATGTACTAACCGATGATGTAATATAATTTTAAAAATTTTGAATATTTGTGATTTAATTAATAAATAGAATCAATAATAATAGTATAACAATAATTGATATACTAATTAATAGGTAGCAACTGTTTCTTTTAACTCATGTTATCAAATGAAAGAAAACATTAAAAAATAACATTAATGCAAGAAATTACAGGAATAAAATAAATAAATTATAATTCACATAAATTCTTGTATTGCTTCCCCTGTTTTTGCAGCAGCTGCTGCACCTATTAGAATTTGCTATGGCCGAGTGGCCAACAACCTCCCTCCGCCCTCCACCGCCGTCAACCTCCTCAAATCAAATGGAATCACCACCGTCCGCCTCTTCAACACCGATCCCGATACGCTCACATCATTCTCCGGCACCGGCATCTCCCTCATGATCGGAGTCCCCAACGAACTCCTCCCTTCCCTCGCCACCACCACCATAGACCCCTCTCTCCAATGGCTCCAATCCAACATCTTCTCCCACATCTCCCCCACCCAAATCAAGTACATTGCCGTAGGCAACGAAATCCTCCTCAAAGACCCATTTTACACACCCTATTTAGTCCCTGCCATAAACAATCTATACATAGCTCTTCAAACTTTGGGTTTATCAGACACAATCAAGCTCTCAACATCTCACGCAGCTTCGATTTTGATGAATTCATACCCTCCCTCGGCCTCAACTTTCGACCCAAATCACCAATCAATAATGGGTCCATTGCTGCAATTTTTGAAGGATACTGGGTCGCCATTGATGGTCAATGTGTACCCATTTTTCAGCTTCCCAAACAACCCACAATTCGTATCGCTAGACTATGCTCTGTTTCGGGGAAGGATCATAGAGATTGATCAGAACTTGGTTTATGATAATTTATTCGATGCGACGATTGATGCGTTTGTGTATGCGATGGAGAGAGAAGGGTTTGAGGGGATTCCGGTGGTGGTGGCTGAGACGGGGTGGCCGACTGGTGGCGGAGAGGCGGCGAGTGGTGAGAATGCATTGGCTTATAATGGGAATGTGGTGAGGAGAGCTTTGAACGATGTGGGGACTCCAAAGAGGCCTGGGCTTGGAGTAGAAGTGTTTTTGTTTGATTTGTTTGATGAGAATGAGAAAGATGAGGGAGAGTGTGAGAAGCATTTTGGGATTTTTGGACTTGATGGGGTTGAGGCCTATGACCTTAATTTTAACTAAAATCTTGCGTTGGGGTGGTTTGGCATAAATTAAATAAGTATATTTTTTTTTTGTAAAAGTATATTTATTTAGATCACATCAATCAACATATTTTATCTACTTTTTTATATATATTTTTTTTTTATGAAAAGTTAAAAAGTGTACTTATTTAGAACATATCAGATGTCTAAAAATATTCACCTCATCAATATTATTACATTTTAATTTTTTTTAAAATGAAATGATTGCGAATATATATTTTTTTTAAAAAAAAAAAGAAGAAGAAGAAGAAAAAGGAATAATGATTTTAAATGTGATGAATTCTAAAAAAATAATAATAATATTGAAAATGAACTATGTAATGAAAATTTAAACTTGGTGTGGGCCAGTGAGTTACATCTAAAAAAATTTGATACACATGTTATTTTCAAAGAAAATTAATTGGATTAGTTCAAGTGATCAGTTATGTACTGAATTAATAGACACCAATTGATTATTTCTTTCTTATTAGAAATATTAATTTAGTTATTGATTTCTTTTCTTTTTATGGAGTTTTTGTTGTACTGTGGAGTGATTGTGGTGTTAGGCTTTTGAAGTATGTCTTATTACCTTCTTATCTAAATTAAAATAAACAATTCTATTAATATTTGTAAATATTTCCTTACTAATTTATTTTAGGATAAATTACATTGACACCCCTTGAGATTTGGTCCAATTACTACCCATCCCCTGACGTTTTAGAAATTACATTCTCACTTTTGTGGTTAATAGTTTCATCTCACAAACTCCTCTGCTTATATAAAACGTAACAACTCGCAGTAGAAAACATCTCCCCCACCCAAATCAAGTACATTGCCGTAGGCAACGAAATCCTCCTCAAAGACCCATTTTACACACCCTATTTAGTCCCTGCCATGAACAATCTATACATAGCTCTTCAAACTATGGGTTTATCAGACACAATCAAGCTCTCAACATCTCACGCAGCTTCGATTTTGATGAATTCATACCCTCCCTCGGCCTCATCTTTCGACCCAAATCACCAATCAATAATGAGTCCATTGCTGCAATTTTTTAAGGATACTGGGTCGCCATTGATGGTCAATGTGTACCCATTTTTCAGGTTCACAAACAACCCACAATTCGTATCGCTAGACTATGCTCTGTTTCGGGGAAGGATCAGAGAGATTGAACAGAACTTGGTTTATGATAATTTATTCGATGCGACGATTGATGCGTTTGTGTATGCGATGGAGAGACGGGGTGGCCCACTGGTGGCGGAGAGGCGGCGAGTGGTGAGAATGCATTGGCTTGTAATGGGAATGTGGTGAGGAGAGCTTTGAACGATGTGGGGATTCCAAAGAGGCCTGGGCTTGTTTTTGTTTGATTTGTTTGATGAGAATGAGAAGGACGGGGGAGAGTGTGAGAAGCATTTTGGGATTTTTGGACTTGATGGGGGTTAAGGCCTATGACCTTAATTTTAACTAAAATCTTGCGTTCCAAACTTCTATTGGGGTGGTTCGGCATAAATTAAATAAGTGTATTTATTTTGTAAAAGTATACTTATTTAGATCACATCAATTAACATATTTTATTTACTTTTTTATATATATATTTTTTTTATAAAAAGTTAAAAAAATGTACTTTTTTAGAACATATCACACATCTAAAATAAATTTGATACACATGTTATTTTCAAAGAAAATTAATTGGGTTAGTTCAAGTGATCAGTTATGTACTGAATTAATAGACACCAATTGATTATTTCTTTCTTATTAGAAATATTAATTTAGTTATTGATTTCTTTTCTTTTTATGGAGTTTTTGTTGTACTGTGGAGTGATTGTGGTGTTAGGCTTTTGAAGTATGTCTTATTACTTTCTTATCTAAATTAAAATAAACAATTCTCTTAATATTTGTAAATATTTCCTTACAAATTTATTTTAGGGTAAATTACATTGACACCCCTTGAAGTTTGGTCCAATTACTATCCATCCCCTGATGTTTTAGAAATTACATTCTCACCTCTGTGGTTAATAGTTTCATCTCACAAACCCCTCTGCTTATATAAAACGTAACAACTCGTAGTAGAAAAATAGAAGAAATTATATTTTTTTTAAAAACAGTAAAGGAAAGGGAAAAAAAAAAAGAGAAAGTAAAGCAAAGCAAAAAAAAGAAAGAGTACATGAGTTCAATATTTTCATTCCGTCTAAATAATTACAATGATGGGGGGTTAGCATAATTTTCTAAACTTCAGCGGGTGATATGTATTAAACCCAAACTTCAAGGGGTGTAAATGTAATTTAACCTTTATTTTATATATCATTCTCAAACTATTTGTTTTTATTGAAACATTTATTGTGTATTTCATGCTTTCTTTTTCTTTTCTTTTCTTTTGTTTTTTTATTTTTAAAGTAAAATATTTGCTAGCTTTATGAGAAGAATATCGATATGCACCACCCATCTCTAGTCCTTTATGGGCACATATAATGCTAATGTTCCTTCATAAAGAAGAATCGTATTCTTCTTCTTGCTCATATTTTTTTACCAATATTATTGGAGAGAGTTTTGGAATCATGTTTCATAAGGAACTCTGAAACATAAGAGGAATTTCATTTTCAGACACTTTAATTATCTCAGTGCATATCTTTTTTTTAGTATACACACTTATTAATTTGATTATTAATTAATTTCTCAATTTACATACTAAAAGTTACAATTATATAATTCATTCATAATTATTGTACACATACCACTCAACCCTCATTTCCATACACTTATTGAGTGACTCTACTTTTAGATTTGTAGACCTATTATAGACCCACGTGAAAACCATTCAAAACCACAGTGTAAAGTGAAGTGAACTGAAAACAAAGTCCTTCAATGAAAATTCTATTGAACCTCCATTAAAAATACCATTGAAAACTCTCCAAAATATTGTTGAAGATGAGGCATCATTACATTTTATTATTACATTTGTCATTTTCAAATCTCTATGCACTCTATTGTCATAAAATTCTTATTTTTTTTAAAAAACAAAATTTATGTTTTATGTTTGGGAATTTCGACACTGGTTTTCTGAAATTATACATTTAATTCGAAACTTGAATAAAAGTGATTAGTTCGATAAATTTGTTCCCAAAAAAAATTTAAAAAAAAATCTCAACAATTGATGTTCGAATATAATGAAATAATTCGGCGCTGATTGTCCAATTGAAAACCGCCAAAAAAAAAGGTTCTGCACGAAAAAATTAATATTTTCATCACTAATAGAGTATAAATCTAGAGATTAAAGCAATATGAAAGTTGTAATGAAAATATTGCTTCGCAAACAATAGAGTTTCTTTTTTTTACTTAAAAGGTGTATATTGAGATTTTTTTATTTTTAAAAGATGTGTACAGAGAATATTTTCATATAATATTATGGGTACCACTATATGTCCATTATAGTCATTTTAGTTTAGGGTATAATTGTTATTAAAATAATATTTTATTAAGGGTCTACACTAAGATAATTAGGTGTGTCGATATAAAATTTCACAAAAAATAAGGGTTAAAACAGCTAATAAGGAGCCAAAAGTTTGTCAACCGAATTGGAAGGCAAAGAGACTTTAGATTTTGTGTTCGGAATCATAAATTCAATATTAAAATTGAGCCATTTAAAATTATACATAATAACTAAAATATAGAGTATTTTTAACGTTGTATCTTTTTTTTTTATTAAATTTGAATAAAAACTCCATTTGATAACATGCATTCCAATAGAGGATTTTGAACTTTCATCAAAACACTGATTGATTGAGCAAACGACCAGCCAGTGTAATTTTTTTACAAATTTTCACAAGGAGGTTGTAACGCCCCGATTCTACACTATAGGTTGCAGTCAAGGGAGAGTCACTAGTGAGTCCTATGGCCAATAACCAAGTAAGATCCCAGATCGCCGGAGGAGTCAAAATAGCCTCCCTTCTAAGTCCAGCTTTCTTAGGCAGCGCACTACCTTTTTGACAGATCTTACAAGGCATTGACACAAGGTCTCATAAGCAACGATAAGGTTCATACGTAGGATATACATACATAATAACCATAATTATACTTGCTTCAAAAGATTGTTCCATTACATTACATCACAAAAAGAAAGTTTTTTTTTTTAAACTTCATATGAGTCTTACAAAATAACAAAAAGGAAATTTCTAGTATTCCTAAGATAGCCAAAAGTCTTCAAAGGTTTCCGGCTCGTCGTCTTCCGCTATGAGTTCCGCTTCGTCACCTGGCATGATACGCCGTGAGCTTTGAATGCCCAGTAAACACACACACACACCCTACCCCTTTTTCCCAGTCCAATACATAATCACAAAATATAACATCAAGTAGTAAAGCATGATATTCCAGTAAATAAATCAATAAATAAACAGATAGTTAAGTTAGATGTCAGTAAACTAGAAATCCCCCAAAGAGATTTCGTCCTCCCAACCACAAGAATCGGACGCGGATTATTCGGTATGCCCCCTCTTTTGCTGCTTTGTTGCAGACCTAACCTCGGATGCCTACCAACGGTTATATACCGTGTAGCGCCAACCGCAGGGCCTCAAAAGAGACGGTAAAATAGGGCCTTGCCCGAATCCCTCCTTACACCAAACCACCTAGGGTCCGAATACAACCGCTCCGTTCAAGGGTTCCGAAAACCACTTGCGCAAGACTTTAACCTTTAAATAGGGAACGCATCCCAACATACCATATACCACATATTCTCATCTTTTCATTACTCAAATGCTCGAAAACCCAATACCCTCCCAACTTGGTTTCCCGTTGAGTTAGATATTTTACATCAAGGTTAGACAACTTAACCAGATAAAAATGTCCACACAAGCATACATCCATAGGATAAAAAAAGATAGAGAACATAACATAACACATACAATATCATGCCAAGATATGATCATGAGCTAATAAACATTTTTATGAATACAAGGGCACAAAACATCCATGCATAAAAATTTCCAGATTTAACATCACATGAAGGTTAATATAGAAGGACTACTTGGGTTCATCCGCCGGACTCGGTTTTCCTATGGTTCGTAGAGAATTTGATCTAGTTCCTAGAACATTTTTCGGAAATGGGATTGCTTTTCCCGATTTTAAGTTATTTGCAAAAAAGTCCAGCACTGTTCCCGAATCTGCCCAGAATCTGCCCAGATCTGTCGACTGTTACGAAAATTTGATTTTCTCGTAAACCACTCAATGTTTTTTGATGAAACCAATTTTAGTTGAAAGCTAACTCCTTAAGGAAGGTTTTGACATAAAATAGAGGTTCAGAATATTTTTGTACATTTTTCTGGAATGTTTGAAAGTTGACTGAAAAAAACAGGTTTTAAGGTGGAATGCCAAAACAAGAAAATTTATAAAAAGGGGGCTCCACCATGGAAAAGTTTCATCTCTTTTGTGAGGAAAACATGCTAACTATCCCATGTTTAACTCAGAAAATTTGTTTGAAAGAGTACCCTCGAAGGGTTGAGAGATTTGTACAAAAAGAAGATGGTTTGTACCAAAAACTCCTCTTCCTTGCTCTCCTCCCTCTCTCTAACCAAAATGTGTGTGTGTGTGAGTGTGTTGTGTGTATGTTTGCAAGCTAGGGAGGGTGTGGTATATATAGGCCAATTTGGGGTAAAAGGACATAAAAGCCCTTTAATTGGAATTGGATGGAAAGTTAAGATTTTGCTTGAATTCTAAAGGAATAGAGGGGACTTAGGAGGTGTGTTCCATTGGTTTAGGCCACCTCTAGTTGTAATAAAACTATTTCTTGGATTTTGTATCCTAGGTAGGTCACTAAGTTGTGCTTCTCTAGAATCTCATAATCATGGTCTTAGAAAATTGGCTTCTCTCTCCCTTCCCTAGGAGGGCTAGCCTTGGGGAAGTGTGATGGGGCAAATTTTTTTTTAATTTTGGTCCTAGGCACATCCCTCAAGGTGTATACACACACACACACACACACACATATATATATATATATATAACAAGATTGATGGCATACCAAGGTACAAAATATAAGTACTATTTGGGCAAGTTTAGAAATAATAATAAAAAAGAAATATGTATATATATATAAGGGCTTGAAGTTAACTACATGTAACCTAGGTAAAATTAAATTTAGGTTAGGGAATTTATGTTTTGATAAAATAAAAATAAAAGAAATAGAAATTCACTAATCAACAAGATTCGAATTAATTCAAGTAACGAGGGTTTTAAAAAAAATAATTCATCATTAGAGTCTTAAAAGTAAATACATAATTTAGGGGCCTTACAGAGGTGGTTATCCGGGAGACAATTGGTTGGTCATCCGATGGTTGGATTTTGGAGACAATCGCATTGGATTGGACTATTCATTTTCTTTTGACGAATGAAGAGTATTAAAACCATGAGTTCCGTTTGTTTTCAGAGGTAGAATAAAAGGAATTTATAGTGAGAGAATTAATAGTGAGGAGATTTAAAATTATATTTGTTTTGATGATAGTTGTTAATGTTGGAATTATTAAATTATTTTTATATAAAATAATAAAACAAATAAAAAATATATAAAAAATTCTGAATATATAAAAAATAAAAAAATAAAAAATTTCTAATCTCTCACTATTTTTCTAATACCATCTCATAAAAAAAAATAAAAAAAACTTCTAATCCGTCACTATTTTTCTAATACCATCTCTACCTCTTCCATCTCAATCTCCCTTCTAAGACATTTACTAATACCAAAAAATTACTTCATAACTCTCAAAACAAACACCCCATATAATATTCTCACCTCACTATCAATCTCAATGCCCGCTCAACAATCCCCAAACAACCGGGGCCTGACAGTAAATGAAGAGAGTCATCAAGGAATAAATTCTTGAGTCTTGACTAACCCCACGTTGTCTCTACGCAGACTTTGAATTTGAACCCTTTCTTACCCACCAAGAAAATCTGATGGAAAATGTCGGAAAATCATCTTCCATTTTCTCGGCTCTATATATATCCATCGCCATTCAAGCTCTAAACCTCACTTTTCGCATTTGGATCAACAACAACAGTGAGAGAAAATGGAGTTCGAGAAAATGGAGATTGATGTTCCCAACCGCGGCGAAACATACGATCTCCCCTCTCTCTTCTCTTCCTCAGGGACCGACTTCCTCATTCGCAATAATGGTGATAAGGTGTGTCTATCTTCTTCTTCTAATCAAATTCCATCTACTTTTTTTTTTGTTTCCCTTCTCAATTTTCACAATTTTATTGTTTTTTCCAAAAGATTGGGCTTCTCAGACTTAAGGCCGCTTTTGTCTTGCGGAGAGTGATATAGCGTTGATGGTGGTTAACGATAGAATTATTAAATTATTTTTAAAAAAAAAAATTTAAAAATGATTTCTATTAAAAAAATTCAAAACAAATATATTCAAAACAATTGAACCGAAAAAAAAGGGACGGTCGGCCGATTAAGTAGACTCAATCCGTTCGCTATTTTTCTAATGTCACGTTTTTTTCAGCCCAGCTAATCCCTTTACTTATGTTGTGTGTGGTTGGGAGATTTGGGAAGGGATTTGAAAAGGGAAAGGGAAAAAGTGTATGAAACTATGTGAAATATAAGAATGTTTTATTCACATTTCACCTACCTTTTCTATTTTCCTTTCCAAATTCCTCTCTAAATCTCCCAACCAAACACAGCATTAGGAAAATTCTCCTAATCCTTTATGCTTTTCTTAACCCAGCTAATCTCTTGCTAAGGGGTTTAGTAAGCCGCTCAGACTATCACGCAGCTCTTCCAAACCATCAACAAACAAACTATGGGTGGGACCCACAGCTATGTTACTCGGCCACTCACTCGACCTAACTGATTCAAAACAGTTCATTTTATCATTTATAAAATAAAAAATAAAAAAATTAGATCCATTCAATCATAACTTTTTTATTTTATTTTATTATGTTTGTTTAAAAAAATGAATGATCTCTATTTAAACATATTTTTTATATTTTTTTAAGACAATTGTGATAAAATAAAATAAAAATATTATGATTATGAAATCGACTTAATATTTTGGAGAAATTATAGTTTAGTTAGGATTTTGAAAAATAATTACAAATAAGTGATAAACCTTATAGATATTAATTAATAATAAAAAATTTCATGAATTTGTAATAAATTTATAATTACCACTTAATGGTAATTTTTCCTAATATTTTCTATAAGGCCTCGTTTGGGAACAAGCTAATTTAGTAACTTTTTGGTTATTTGGAGGTAAAAAAAACTTGTATGTTTAGAATGACTTTTTGGCTAATTACGAAAAGATGTGCAAAAAGTAGAGAGAAATGAGAATTTTTGACTTTTTGATATGAGTTTTTGACTTTTTGGCTAATTGGCTAAAAAAGTAAGTCACCAAATAGAGCCTAAATGACATACTGAGGGCTATAAAATAAATAGTTCAAATAATCGAAACGAGACCTCTTGAAATTCTCTCAAGTTTGAGAAAAGTCCAATCCTTTTTGAAAATACTCCCAATACGATTTTGAGTATGACTTAAACTGGCTCGGTTATGAAGCTATGTGATATTTGATTATGAGTTGAAGTGGTCTTAGTTATGAGTTTTTTGTGTTTGCTTTGTTATGAAGCAAAATAGCTTTAGTTATGAGGCAGATGCTTTTGTTATGAACTGTTTTGTTTCAACCCCTTTTTTTTGAAACTTCCATAACCCTCTTTGAATAGTGGGCCCACACCATCAATGGTTGAAATCTAAAGGGGTGGCGGGAGTCTCAAAAAAAAGAGTCTCAATCATTGTTGATTTCGTTTTCGGTTACGATCAAAATTGGTGAAAATTATGAAACTGAAATTTTGGGTGTATAATTATAGTAACACTTCCATATATATATAGATACATATTTGTTAATGGTACAGTACATCCATATTCTATTCTTCCACCAAATGGGTCACATTAACTTCTCCCAAATTAATTTCATTGTCAGAGAATTTTGTTCTTTAAGAGGAAATCTGACAAGGAGGAACCATTGGCCAAGTTTTATCATAGAGATTTATTTGTTCACTAGTAATATAAAAGTCGGCAAGTTTTATCTCACGCATTTTTATTTTTATTTTAAATTTTTGGTAGATGGTTTTAGTCAAATTGGATAAAATCAGTGAAGTTAGACTGGAAGTTAATACATATTCAGTTAATTTTAGATGTTTAAACTTTAGCTGCAAATTTGGTATTTGGGGCAGGTGAACCAAATTTGCAAATGGACTTTATTCATGATATGTACGAAATTTTCATTTCCTTTACATGTTGGAATAGATTGAACTGGCTGAATCTGCATTTAGCAGCAAAAGTAATTATTATTATTATTTTTATTTTTTTTGCTTTTTTGAATACATTGGAGAGGAGGGGGAATCGAGGTTCTAGCATTGAAACGTTTTCTTGCCTAAACGATTACACCAGAGTACTGTGCTGAAATTTGGGATATTCCAATTGGAATTAATGTGATAAATTCTGAATGTTTACAGGTCGGAATCGAGAGTTCGATTGATAAAAAAGTCGGGTTATATTTCTCAGCATCATGGTGTGGCCCGTGTCGCCAATTCACCCCAACTCTGGTGGAAGTCTACAATGATTTATCCCCAAATGGAAATTTTGAGATTGTATTTGTTTCAGCAGATGAAGATGAAGAGTCATTCAAGGCATATTTCTCCAAGATGCCGTGGCTTGCTATCCCATTTTCTGATTCAGACACTCGTGATCGCTTGGATGAATTGTTTAAGGTGATGGGGATTCCTCATCTTGTGATTCTTGATGAAGGTGGGATGGTTGCAACTGAGGAGGGTGTTCAGATCATCCGTGAGTATGGAGTTGATGCATATCCTTTTACCTCAGACAGGGTTGAAGAAATTAAGGAACAAGAACAAGTAGCTAGGAGGGAACAATCCTTGAAATCTATCTTAGCGGCACGCTCTCGTGACTTTGTGTTCTCAGCTGATGGGAGGAAGGTGAGTTTCAATACCAGGCTCTGTTTGTTTTACAGAAAACATTTTTCAAGTGAAAACTTTTTCGAACTGCTTTGAAACATGTATGTATGTGCTAGTAGTTGTATTAGTGGTTGGGTGGTGGTGCATTGGCACGACTTGGTTTAGAAACGTTTGTCACCTTTCAAAAGTAAAAAACATTTTCTACTCAAATAAGCTTGTTTTCTGTTGGCTACAGAAAATATTTTCTGCTAACTTTCGTTTTTCATCTTACCAAATGTTAGAAAACATGAAAAACGTTTTTCATAAAATATTTTTTGCCAAAACATTCCAAGTGTTAGTTCCTATCATTTGTTGTTTATATCATCTCCAAAATATGATCCTTTGCATATTTGTTTTCTACAAGGTACCTATATCTGAACTTGAAGGCAAGACTGTTGGCCTGTATTTCTCGTTGTCATCATACAAGAAATGCCAAGATTTTACTCCAAAACTCATTGAAGTTTATGAGAAGTTGAAGAGGAAGGGAGAGAACTTTGAGGTTGTGATGATACCCCTCGACGAAGACGAGGAATCCTTCGAGCAAACCATCAGAAGAATGCCATGGCTCTCACTTCCCTTCAAAGACAAGACCTGTAAGAAGCTGGCTCGGTTCTACGAGCTTTCAACTCTACCAGCATTGATTATTATAGGCCCAGATGGGAAGACTCTTCATTGTGATGTTGTTGAGACCATTGAAGAACATGGCACTCTGGCATACCCTTTTACACCAGAAAAGTTTGCTGAGCTTGAGGAGATAGAGAAGAAAAAAAGGGAAACACAAACATTGGAGTCGATTTTGGTTTCAGGAGATCTCAATTTTGTCATTGGAAAAGATGGACTCAAGGTAAGTTTGTTAGGAATTGCTTAATGGCACTTGTTATGTTGATACAAAACCAAGAATTGCATCCCACTCAAATGACGTTGGTTACATGATTTTTAGTTCTGTCATTCTGCTCTATCAAGGCTATATATGCACATAAAGTATTTTTCAGTGGCAAGTGCTATACAAACAAAGCGTAATAACCAAGCATTGGAATTAGAAATTGACCCACTGAGCTTGTAAGAAAAGTATGTTTGTATAGCATTACTCTTTGTCACCTCACCCAAGAGCTGATATGACACCGTTTGCCAAATTTCCAAAATGCCAGAAGCCAGGCTCATACATGCCCTAGCCCATACATATTCAAAATAGGATTCATGTTCATAAAGAATTTGGTGGGAATTTGTACGTGTTAGCTGGCAGGCTACCTAACACACAATGTTCCTTAATCTTGGGACCAGTTGTATAAAAGATAAAACACTGAGCATGACACAGGCATAGTTAATACAAGCAGAAATTTTGTTCCTTTGCAGGCCTGCTACTGGTGATCACTGACAAGAAACTCTGTTTTCAGGTTCCAGTTTCCAATCTTGTTGGGAAAAACATCCTTCTGTACTTCTCAGCACATTGGTGTTTTCCATGCCGAGCTTTTCTGCCAAAGCTTGTCGAAGCATATCACCAAATCATGGCGAAGGATGACGCATTTGAAGTAATTTTCATCTCCAGTGACAGGGATCAACCCTCCTTTGAAGAATTTTTCTCAAAGATGCCATGGCTTGCACTCCCCTTTGGAGATGAGAGGCAGGCATCTTTGGCACGCACTTTTAGGGTCCATGGAATTCCTATGCTAGTCGCCCTTGGGCCAACTGGCAAAACCATCACAACAGAAGCCAGAGAACTTGTTACGTACCATGGAGCAGATGCATATCCCTTCACCGAGGAGCGGTTGAAGGAGATTGAGGCGGAGATTGAAGAGATGGCAAAGGGGTGGCCCGAGAAGGTGAAGCATGCGCTACACGAGCATGAGCTTGTGCTAACTAGGCGCGAGGAGTATGTATGTGACTGGTGTGATGAAGCTGGGAAGGTTTTGGCATTCAATTGTGATGAGTGTGAATTTGATATGCACCCAAAGTGTGCCCTTGAGGAAGACAAGGAAAGTAAAGAGGATGTGAAGGTGGGGAAAAAACCCAAAGAAGGATGGCTTTGTGATGGAGATGTCTGCTACAAAGTTTAAGATGCTTTGTTTTCAAAGGAAAAAAAAAAACTATGTTACTTTCTTTAATCAGTGTGTTTTTTATGTATAATGAATGTTGGTATGCTATCCAGTTTAAGCTTTTCTTGCCATTGATTTCTTTCTTCTGCTTCTTCTTCATATTTTCTGTTAGTTGAGGGAATTGTAAAGTCATGTTTGATAAGAATGGTTATGTGTAGTATTAAGCCTGTAATTATGCTGAAATTTGTTGGACATTTCCAAAGAAACAAATATAATAATCTGCTGACAGCGAGGAACTTACGAAATGAGAAGGTGATGAAAATTTGCCCGAGGGCTGCAAATGGGTCGATCCAGGCTCATCTTTACACTTTTGAACTCTAAAAGTTAATTGAGATTGAGCTTTCTAAAAACAGCAAAATTGCAAAATTGAATGTTGAAACATTGGAATTTGCCCCAAATTTATCGAGGTCCGTAGAACAGCAATAGATCCCGATCCCCACTTGAGATCTCTTGTTTAAGCAATTTTTGTTAAATTGAAAATCAGTAGTAAGCAAATATTTAACAATAATTCTATGACACAGAATTGACCACAAAAATACAAGTGAAACAACGTGAGTAGAGCAACCTATTCAATGTTATGGGCCCCATCGTCTGATGTTTATGACCACCATTATTTTTTGTAGCCAATTCTGTGTCCATAGAATTATTGAATATTAAAATGTGCTATAATTAAGGCGGTAAAACAAATCAAATTACTCAAGATCAACTCGTATTTAGCTCGTTCAAAACTCATTCGCAATCGGCTCCAACAAATCAAGCTTGAACATAGTTTAAAGTTAAAAAGTTTTCAAATCATGCTTAAAACAAGTTAGGCTCCAGAAACTTATACATTCATTATAAAATGTCAAATTACTTGACCTCAACTCGTTACTTGCTTAATTAAAATTTGTCTAAGATCAACTGAAAAAGTAAATAAGAATAAGTTAAATTTAAATATATTTTAAAACTTATAAAGCTATCAAGCCAAACTCAAATAACCTACTGCTTGACATTCGACCATTTATAGTCTTGTCTTAAACAAGTTTAATCACAAGAGCAAGGACAAGGTTTAAACTCTCCCGTGTGTTTGGATTATAAATTTGAAAAGCAATAAAAAAATGAACTATAGTTCATTTATATTTCTCATAAATTTTTCTTTTCTTTTCTAAATTTATATTCAAATCCATTATCCAAATATAACCTCAACATTTCACAGTTAGACATGACTTTGTAAAGAAGTGTTGTGATATAGGCCACGTCTATTTGGCTCCCACCATAGATGGGAGATTGGATTAGTAATTCTGTGAACCCTACGTAACTCATATTTGGTTGACAAAAATACAATAAGGCTAGTAGTACATCATGGGACTACAAATCCCCCACCTGCGATTAGATTTCCTATAGGAGAGGTCAGATTGGGTGTGAAAATATAATTCTGTCCCAACATAACAAAAACAACAAAGTTAATTTTTATACAATGAGGATTTTCACGTAAATTAATAGATTCTCAACCAATTAATAACACCATACTAGTATACAAACAAATATATTTGAGTAATGCTAGAGATTTTAAAAATTTTATCAAATGTCTCACATGAGTGTAAAATTCACATGAGACATATATTGTGGGTCACACACTCGGGAGACATTTGGCAAAAAAATTAATAAAACTTTTGGGATCTCTAATATTTTTCAATATATTTATCTTCCATCTTGAACATAATACCACCGCACTAGTAATTTCCCCATTCAGTTTCACCTTGGTCGTAATCCCATCCAATCTAATCTGCAAACAACCTAAGAGAATGTTCTTGGTCATGGTACGATGTTGACCCTTCAAGTCGTTGTCTTGCCTTCATAACCCAGTCTTTGTATTGTACATTCCTTAGAAAACACATAAAAGAAAGAACAATCTGATCACGGAGATATCAACAACAAAGAAAGCATTGGCATTTTATATATATAAAGGTATATATAATTCTGTAAATCAGTTGTAAGGGTTCAAAGCAGATATGGCTAACAGCAATGACAGTGTTGTTACTTATGATATTGCATCTCTTCTTTCTTCAAGAAAAAGGGACTTCCTCATCTGCAACAATGGTGATCAGGTATAATATAACCCATATCTATAAACTTCAAATAATAATAATAATTCTAGGGTTTTTCTCTGTTTTACCATCTATATAAATATAACCTTTTCGCGCGAAATGAAACATGTGGGTTCACATTCATTTTAATAAAAAATTTAGGTTATGTTCTTGTGAGGGGGTGAATTTTGCACAAATAGAATCGGATAAATTATATCACTGGTTCTCTAGATTGAGCGAAATTTTATTTTGATCTTTTATACTTTTAATTTAAACAATTTGGTTCTTACACCTTCAACTTTGTTGCAATATGGTCCCTCCGTTATGTGTTAGTAGCATTTTGAAAGAGCAAAAAATAATATGCAAAATTAGAGGAACAATATAAAATCCAAAACAAACTATAGCGATCATTAGTGTAATATTTTACACCAGTGGTTCTTTTAATTTGTTTTGATCTTCACTTTGGTGTCCAAAATTCTAATGGTAAGTGACAGAGGGACCACATTATAAGAAAATTGAAAATATAAGAATTAAATTGTTCAAATTAAAACTACGGGGACCTAAGAAGCACATACACGAATGTGGATACATGATACGACACGGACATACCGACACGACAATTTTTAAAAAATGCAGGACACAATATATGGAGGACACACATAGAATATATAATTTTATATATTTATTATATGATATATATATATATATATATGAATATATCATTCTAAAACAATAAATAAACGTAATATAACACTAATTTCTATAAATTGATATTATGTTTCTTTTATCATCATATAATAAGTTATTTTGTTCAAACTTATAATTATTTTCATATATGTCTAATCAATGAACACATATGTTTAAGCAATAAATACGTGTGTGCTCCAAATGTCTAAAGAGTGTCTGAGTCTAAATTTTTTTTAAAAAAATAAGACACGTTTAGATAAGTGTTGAACACGTGTCGCGAAAATATTCAACAAGTGTCGATATTTGACACAAATATGACACAAATACGTCATCTTTTTAAAAGTATCCGTCCTTCTAAGACGGGGTAACTAAAGTGCCTTCATTTAAAATGTAGCAATTATAATATTTAATCATAGCTCCACGACCAAACACATAGTGATCCAATAACTGCAACCTGCTCATAGGATTAGGCCGAAGAAGCCCCTCCGATGACAAGTTAGATATTCAAACTTAAACGTGACCACATTGAGAGACCTCTTGTGATTTTAAATTATGGTGCTATAATTTACTATGTTAAAAAATAAAAAATCTAGGAAGAAAAAAATGGATGCGAAGGGTGGAAAAACTAATTCCTATCACTACAATAAATACATTTTTGGCGACTAAATTTTTAGTCGTCGAAGATTTTTGCCGACTAAATTTTTTGGTTGGTAGCTTTATTGTTAGATGATTGTCGCCAATTAATTTTATAAATCCCTCCAAAATTTGAAATGTATCCCTCCAAATATTTTAGTTTCTTGGTAACTAAAATATTTTTTGTCGCTGAAAATATGTTTTTGGTGACCAATAAAAAATAATTTTTTATTTTACATTCGGCGACTAAATGGTTTTAATAGCCAAAACTCAATATACGACGACTAAAATATTTTTTTTGTCGCCAATTCTAGTATTTTTAGCAACTGAATTTTTTTTAGTCGCCAATAACCAATATGCCCTAACTAAAAAAAATTAATAGCTAAATATTGTACTTTTACTGACTAAAAAAGTTTTTGGTCGCCAATTCCACAACTTTTGGCGACTAAATTTTTTTTAGTCACCAATTTTGGTCGCCAAAGATGCATTTTGTTGTAGTGTATAGGCGCTAATTTAATAACTAACAATTGACTTTCGCCAATCAAAAAAAAAAAAAAGATGCCAAGGTGATATTTTCAGGTTAAAGAAGGCAAGCATTTGGTGCTTTGCAAAAGGTGAGGAAACTAACTCTAACAAATACTAATTTAACAACCAATAACTAACTTTCGCCGATAAAAAAAAAAGGATGCCAATGTGATATTTTCAGGTTAAAATCTGTAATTTGGTTGGAAAGATAGTTGGGTTATATTTCTCTGGCTCATGGTGTGGTCCATGTCTTCGTTTCACCTCAAATTTGGTGGAAGTTTATCAAGAACTCACATCTAAGGGGGACTTTGAAGTTGTCTTTATCTCATCTGATGGAGTTGACGAAGCATTTGATGTTCACTTTGCAAAAATGCCATGTCTTGCCATTCCATTTTCTGATTCTAAGACATTAAAGCACCTTAAAGAAGTGTTCAAAGTTAGGAGGATCCCTTATCTTGTGATCCTTGATGGAACTGGTAAGGTTTCAAGTGATGAAGGAGTTAGGATCATTAAGGACTATGGCGCGAGAGGGTACCCATTTACGCCTGAAAGAGTCAATGTTTTGAAAGAGGAAGAAGAGGCCTTCAAGAAGGAACAATCCTTGAAGTCTATCTTGGTTTCCAGCTCCCGCGATTTTTTGATTTCAAACAATGGAGTTAAGGTATAATTTTACTCTTATTTTTTCAAAGATTTGCTTTACATTTACACTCTCATATAGTAGTGGTGGCACTGATGTTAGCGGTAGAGGTAGTAGTAGTGGTGGTGATGGCGGTGATAGTGATATTGGTAAGGTAGTGGTGGCCGTAGCAATTGTGTTGTAGGGGAGTGGTGAGGTGGTGGAGTGGTGGCTTTGATAAAACTCTAGTCGGAAAAATGAAAAACATTTTCCATTCAAATATACTGATTTTTTTATTGATATTCTTTCTTTCTTTTTTTTTTGTCATACCAAAACACCAAGAAAATGCGTGCGCGCGCGCACAAAAAAAAAATTATTTCATTGAAACAAACACAAAAAAAAATTATTTCATTGAAACAAACAGAGGGCGTCAGCATCCATGTCATTTGCACTCATCATGATCTTTAACATGTTAAAATTTAGAGGCGTCAGCATCCATGTCATTTGCACTCATCATGATCTTTAACATGTTAAAATTTAGATTCCTGTGCTGGAGCTTGAAGGGAAGATGATTGGTCTGTATTTCTCACTAACCGCTTATACGGAATGCCATAAATTTACCACCAAACTTGTGGAGGTTTACAACAAACTCAAAAACAAAGGCAACAATTTTGAAATTGTGTTAATATCACTAGACAATGAAGAAGAGTATTTCAAACAAGGTTTCAAGACTATGCCATGGTTAGCGTTGCCTTTCAAGGACAAGAACTATCAAAAACTTGCTCAATACTTCGACCTGAGAGACGTTCCAACATTGGTCATAATCAGTCCAGATGGGAAGACTTTGAACTCAGATGTTGTAGAACTTATTGAAGAACACGGTGTTGAAGCCTACCCTTTTACACCAGAGAAGCTTGCCGAGCTTGCAGAGACTGAGAAGGCGAAACTCGAGGAGCAAACTTTGGAATCAATTTTGGTTTCTGGTGAAAAAGACTTCGTGATTGAAAAATGTGGTTCCAAGGTAAGATTTTTCCCTTCTCTTGTAGATTCAGGGTTGATTTAATTTTCCTTGAGAAATAATATCCCCAATTTGGTTGTGCTTGCATTTTCTCTTTTGTTTTTATTTTTCATGTTTTCTTCGTTTTTAATAATGTTTTTCATGATTACTGATACAAAAACAATGAAAAGTTCTAAACAATTCATCAAACAAGTTTTTGTGCTTTCCGAGAAATGAAAGTAGAAAACAAAAAATTGAAAATACAACCAAACAGGCTCAATGTTTTAGGATATTCAAACTATGTTGATTATCGTCCTCCAAAAAAACTATGTTGATTATATTACCTTGTTTCTTTATTGGATAGGTCCCGGTGTCTGAACTCATAGGAAAGAACATTCTCCTCTATTTCTCTGCCCAGTGGTTTCCTCCCTGTCAAGCTTTTCATCCTAAACTAATTGCAATATACCACGAGATAAAGGCCAAGGACAATGCATTCGAAGTAATTTTCATCTCAATTGATCGCGATCAATCCTCCTTTGATTACTTCTTTTCAAGCATGCCGTGGTTAGTCCTCCCTTTTGGCGACGAGAGAAACGAATTCCTTCGACATAGGTTCAAAATCAGAGGCATCCCTGCGGTTGTAGCTATTGGACCCTATGGCCGAACACTCACCACACAGGCCAGGCAACTCTTACAAGCCCATGGTGCCAATGCCTATCCCTTCAGCGAAGAGCATTTGAAGCAATTGGAGGAACAAATTGAGGAGATGGGAAACTGTTGATTGTGTGTGTGAAGACATAAAGAAGTGTTTGGGCAGTGAAATGTGAATCAATGTTCTAGGCATGGTTTGAACTTTGGATCATGAATCTTTGTTGATACCGTTTCAAATAACTCGAGTCAAAAAAAATAAGGTAAAATAAATGTAGCATGTACACACCTTTGAGACATATATGGCATTCATAAATTAGAAAATGAAAAATTCTACAAACAAATTAAGCCAAAAGTTAATGTCTCACACTTTTTCTTATAAATTTTAATACATAGCACAGATTCAATATACCTCTTGGAGGTCGCCAATCACCGTTACCATCATGAACATATTTTTTTCCCCTCAATTGCATTTCTTTAACATCTAACAACATACCATTGCAGCAGCTAAAAAACAAGTTAAAAATAATTATAAAAAGACAAAAACCAATACATACCAAGGAGCTTGGAGAGCACGTATTGGGGTTGTGCTTTTATTGTCATTGATCAAATCCCAAGTTGCGTTTGTGATTCAAATCATTAGTGTACAATGTAACAATGGCTTTCTTCACCAACTAATGGGTCATGTTAGCATCAAAACCGTGACTTTCATAGCTCCTAAATGCGCCCAGCGCTCCCAGAAACCCTTCATGCCGCAAAAACATCGCCTTTGCCTCCCCTTTTGACCTGATAATGAAAAATATACATCAACTCAATGGGAATCTGTTGGTGTAACTGGATGTAAAAAGAGAGACAAAACAAACAAACAAACAAACAAACAAAGGAATGAAAAAACATGGTGCATAAAATGCAAACAACGAACATAATGGCTTCGTTTGGGAAGTTGCTATTTTAGTAGGCTATTTTAGTTTTTGACTATTTTAGTAGGCTAAAATTTTTGTGTTTGGGAAGATGATTGAATTTTTTTGTGGTTGGATGTAATGTTTGTGAGAGAAAAAGTGAAATGATTATGGGTTTGATGTGTCAATGGGAATCTGTTGGTGTAAATGGATGTAAAAAGAGAAAGACAAAACAAACAAACAAACAAAGGAATGAAAAAACATGGTGCATAAAATGCAAACAACGAACATAATGGCTTCGTTTGGGAAGTTGGTATTTTAGTAGGCTATTTTAGTTTTTGGCTATTTTAGTAGGGTAAAATTTTTGTGTTTGGGAAGATGATTGAATTTTTTTGTGATTGGATGTGATGTTTGTGAGAGAAAAAGTGAAATGATTATGGGTTTGATGTGATATTTTGTCTTATTAGCTATTTTAGCCTATTTTGTCTTTTTGTAAATTTTAGCCTAAACTAAGCTATTTTTTTTCTTGCCAAACACCTCCAATGATTTGATAAGGATTGAGGATGTTAGCGACAATGACAATGCAGCGTAGCGAGAAATTTCATTCAATGGTGTTTTCCTACATGTACAACAATACTTATGAACATTAATATAATATTGCTTCAAAAGAATTAAAGAGAATAAGACTGCAAATTTCGGTTGATCGAACAAAGAGACAGAGAAGAGACAAAATGAGTCTTCACAAGGGAAAAACAAAGTCTTGTAAACACCCAAGTATCATGTGGTTAAAAAGAAGGGTAGCTCTGAACTAAGTTCTACCTTTTTTTATTAAAAAAAATGACACCATTATGTTTATTTTTGAACAATTTCAAAGGTGTCAATTTATGAAAACCTCCCAAAAAAATTTACATAATATAATCCTAAAAAATTTCAAAGTTCAGTGGAGTAGAATTGAACCCACTGAACTCTACTTATAGCTTGGTCCATACTTACGTGTCACAAAAGGCCATTTCAGAATTCTAAGAAACAAAGTGATCTTAATTAGTGCGACGTGTATTATGATTGAACTGATATTTTGTGAGGTGCCTTTGTCCCTTAGGGCAACGTGTATTGCACCTTCATTGATGCAAAGTTTTTGAGCCTTTGTTCACATAGGCAGTTTTCCTAGTTTTGCTCTTGATTGTTCTTTTATGTATTCAGTTGCATACAAAAGGATGGTTAAAAAAAAAGAGGTGAAACGCCCAACTTAGGCTTCAAGATTGCAATAATGAAATTATCATACTGCTACTCTAAAAACAAGAATTATAATTACCAGAAATTAACTGCAACAGAAATTGTGTCCATGGTATAAGCATGACCACGAATGAAAAAGCCTCCAAAAAATATCCGCTTGAGTCCAAAACGAAGCGCATTCAAGTAAGAGATCTGAGGGAAACCAAAAGTTAAAACAATATCAGAATCTCTAGGACCTTAAAATAAAAACCCTGAGACTAATAAAATAAAAGTTTTACTATCTTTAACATATGACACAAAAGGAGCATCTTGGGTGAAATAATTCCAAAAAATATATAGGTATGTATAATGTATGAATGTATATTTGTGCAAGTGCAAATTTATGAATTTTGTTTCACCATTCCACTCCATCATGGGTAATAGCTTCAGTAAAGAACATGAATGTAGTACAAAAGAAAAATTATAAGAAATTAACATTCAAAATGAAATTTATAAGGGATAAATACAATGGTAATACTAAATTAAGTATAAATAAAATTTTACAAATCAAGGAAAGTATGCTTACAAAAAAGAAAGAAAATATATAGATACAGTGGAAATGACTTCATAGTTCATGTATATTAATATATGGCTTTAAAATATTTGGATTTCAAAGAAATCATAAAATTTTATGATTGTTAGCAGCTTTTCAATATATGTTTTTTTAATGCTCACAACAATTTACCTGCCCAATATTATTTGAGATCATTCTTAGTAGGGACCGGGAGATATCTTCAGGTCCGTAATCTTCGAGCTCTTTATTTTCAGAAATGGCCTTGCCAAAGCTAGAAGCAATGTTTGTTGATGACAGGCCAATCTGTCACCGTTGAAAAACTAAGATGTCAGAAAAATTAACAAGGAATTGAATAAACTTAATTAACTACTACTAACTTTACATGGACATTTCAATGTGAGAGCAATACAAGTTCAAACAATATGACATAGTTTCAACATAATTAAGAGATTACTTCTTGGATCTAAACCAGATATTTCATCTGCATGTCAAAATTTCAAGCCTCTAACATAAGCTATTAGTGTTGAAGCATCCAACTCCCATTCAAACACACTGCAATAAATGCTATATGACAACACAGTAAAAAAATAATACACCCCATGACATTTAGGTTAAAAAAAAATGATGCATAGCAAACAACTATTATTTTGTAAGTAACCTAATAAGTCATCATTAACCCAAAAATATTAAGTTTTTAACTCGTACCTATTTAGTAGTTTAGTCATTCAAAGCTTTTGAAAACTTTAAACTTTGTCAATAAATTCCATCCCATGAAGTACAAATGGCAACTTAACTCACAGTACAATAAATTTGCCAAGTAAATGCTTGGTAATTTCAGAAATTTTATAAAACTTTTCATTCTCTCATTTTTTTTAATTAAGTTTATGAAACATATACGTAGAGGTCTTTACCTTGCGCAATGGCAAGAGTTATCCACCCCCATCATTATGACACAGGTTCAAGTGTTACTTCTCCTAGACCCAGCTGTATGCTTGAGGCCTGGAGCATGACCTTTTACGAAATTTATGCATCAATTTTCACATTTATCAATTTGTCTTCTTTACTACTCATTGACAACAGAGTAAAAAAGAATTCAACCTACTTTCTGTTGGGAAACAAGACTATAATGGGAAAAAAATAAAGGATTCGGAACAAAAGAAACTTGTCACCCTTCATATCAACTGCTTAGTTACCGGCACCAAGAGCTGTGGGAATTCTTGGTCTTACCAAATGGATAGCTTGCTACCAAAACATGCCCAGATATCAGCCATTGGAAAATTAAGATGCCTTATATGCCATCTCTTTTGACTGTAATGAAATCAAGAGGATAGTATCTTAAATGCTCATGACATCACCCTCAAAAACAAAAGCAACATTGTTACCTGGGACACAAATCACATGGTCTAACAACCCAATCCATATTAAATGAACAGTCATGAATTTGCATCTCTTGAAACAAAAGAGATTTCAATATAGTAATTTCCAAATAAGAATCAAATTATTTGTTTTTATTGCTTTAAACATGCATTGACATAAAGACTGACCTGGAGGTTATATGGATTTTCATATTTGTTATGATATCCTAAATTATATGCAGTCCATGCACAAATGAAAAGGCTTTATTTATTTTAATTAAAATTTCAACTTAAATAGCATGCCCTAAAATCAACTCTCCAATCTCGTAACGCATTTATTTTGCCAGTAGATTACGTGTTTAACAGCAAGCAAGAAAATATAACAACTATATTTAAAAAAGATATATATATGAATACCTTTGTGTAATCCGTCCCACCATAGATGTCTCCAACAAGCATGTCTATAACTCTATTATTTCCCTTGTGGCTCAACTCTAGCAATTCATCAAAACTGAAAAAATAAATAAAATAAAAATTGAACGCTTTCAATAAAAAGGCTACTGAAATGAGAAAATTAATTATTATACCGCACTTTGGAAAAAATCAAATAAAATAAAAGAAGATTACCTCTTGCACTTCGTTAAAAGTTTTCCCAAACCCCAAAAAGTGCCACCACCAACACTTGTTCCGCTAACTCGCTCAAACTTGCCATCTCCATCCACCTACATGAGAAGAAACTGGGAATCAATTAAAATAACTGAAACATTTGGATGAATGAAATTCAATCAGTTATTCAAGAAAGATATATGTTGAGAAAAACCTTTATCATGCTAACACCAGATCCAATATTCACGAGAAGGTAAGGGTACAAATCATTAATGTCAATCTGCACATACTCTTCACGGCCATCTATGTAAGTAAAAGCTTCAGGGTGGACTTCCTACTCAACAGGTAGAATAACCATCGACATTGTGAGCCAAATTATTTACAAAGTAGAGAAATAAAAAAGGAGTAATATTGGCTCACCAGAAATTAGAAGTAAAATATAATAGGAACAGTTTAGGCATGTAATTTATAAAAGAAAAAGAAAATTTTGAAATCAATTCTGGAGGTACAGTAGCACCAAGGACTTTCAATGCAAGTGGAAATTATACACATGGTTGTAAGAAGCCCTATTATTCCATGACCCACTCAATATGAAAAGAGGAGAGCTATCAACCCCCCACCCCCACAGTCATGTTTTAGTTGTGTGAGAAAACAGGCCTCATTGAAGATGATACACTTACATATCTTTACTTATCATAAAGCATTCTAAATGATAACCACTTAATGAGAATTGGGAAATCACTAAACCAACAATGTGGCTATATGCAGCATAAACAATATTAAAATTGAAAAATAAAATTCTTGGTCCTATTATTGAGAAAATCCGCTTGGAGCCTTGGTCCTTGGACCTAGACATGGAGACTGCTCAGAACAAGCCCATGCCCATTGTCTTCTTCATATCCTTCTTTCTACCCTTATGACCTGGGCTAAGAGCAGAACTTGCATAACTCAATACATACAGTGCTCATCACATGCTACTCATTTGACCCATTTAATCAACATGAGCACCCCAAGATCCATCGGGTTATGTGACTATGATTAGAATTGAGAGTTTGCCGAGGCATTTACCCACTTGTGGACTTCATGCCTTGGCCAGTCATAAGAGAAAAAAGATTCACCTTCTGTCATGTGATTCCCTGGACATGTGTCATGCTCCCTACATGAAAGCAAGTGAACTCCTAACTGTTTTCTGGAATTGAACAGAGGCAGCCACCTGGCCATGTTCGAGCATACAAACTACTAAATACAGAAGGCACTTCCTTCTCCTTATGCAATGATGTCCCAAAAGGAGAGTTATGACATGCCTGTACCCCCTCTTTATGCTCTCATGGATCTTATATGCCTTAGCTAGTCTGATACAAAGAAGACTTGCCTTCTGTCATGTGGTCCCATTGATAAACATCATGCTCTCTATGTCAAAGCACCTGAGCTCCTAATAGTTTCCCAGAATCAAGCAGAAGCAACACTTGGTTGTGCTCTAGCAAATGCCAGACTTATTAGAATTGTATGAATCAAATTGTACTTTTACAAACTATATCTCCACTTGGTCCACAAAATGGTACAGCATCCAAGGTACATCATTACTTCCCATTGAGAAAGTAGTACAACAAGAAGCAAGTAAAGCAATTGAAAACAGTTACAGTCTAACTACACCCAAATCAACATGTACAGCAAAGCCCAACATACCTCAGTAATAGCGATCCCGGTTTTGACCCATCTCATGTTGTATTCCGGGCTCGGGTTTGTATGGTTTCGAATGGTGATTCATATCTTGTTTCCCTTGCCTCCCCTTTATTTGGTTATCCGGTTGTGGTTGTGCGTTTGGAATAGGTTGATTGCTTAGTTTTCAAACTTTGTGGTGCCCAATATTTTGGTCCTCCGCTCGAGCAGGCCTTTTGCACTCAAGCTGCACTCGAGCGGATATTGCAAACTCTCAATACTTTGCGCGTCAGCAAAAGTACTAGAGGAGTGTTTTTCACGCTCAAGCAGCGTTTCCTACGCTCGAGCGGTCAGGCGTTCGAGCGGTCTTTCTTGCGCTCGAGCGGTTTGTCTGTTGTCTGCAGAAGTTCTGGATGTGTGTACTATGCGCTTGAGCGGGCCACTTTTGCGCTCGAGCGGAACAAAATGTTGTGTCTGACGCTCGAGCGTCAACTTCTCCGCTTGAGCGGACTGTGCGTATATCAGATCGCAAAAGTGATTTTTTACATCACTTTTTCATATCTTTTCATCCTAAACCCTAAAGTTGAGAGCCTCTCTCTCTAAAACTCACCTTCTCTCTACTTTTTGGCCTAGATCCTTTGATCTCTTCACCCTAATACCTTGGAGAAAAAGTTGGAGCATCTCAAGATCTACATTTTGAACCGAATAAAGTTGGGTTTGAGCGTTTTTGGAGTTCTACCTTTGCTTTGCTCGTCTTCTTTGCTTGAGGTAGGGATTTTTTATACTTTGTTATGATTTTTAACTTAATTATTTGTGGTTGTGTAACAATGGTGGGTTGTGGGAGCATTTTGAACAAACCTAGTATTTGGGTGTAAATGGAAAAGAGGGGTTTTTAGTGGAACTGAAATAAATGAACTTGGGGTTTGAAAATGAAGTCTTGTTGTGTCAAAATGGGTATTTTTGGTAGTTGGACTGATAATTTGAAAAGGGAGATTTTTGTCCTAAAATGACTATCATATCTATTTTATATAAATAGTTGAAATTGGTGTTGTAAACATGGAATTGACCGAGTATTGGAATGAATGGTGGAATTGAATATGAAATGCTTCATATCCTTGGAAATTTTGATTAAATTATTTGTCTTGAGATTGTATATCTGCGTAGAAATATCTGTATTAGGCTATCAGTGGAGGATAGCTTTGATCGTCGTAGAAATTGCATGTGGATTAGGTAAATTGAAATTAGTCCATGGTTGATTATCATTGAATATGATCATGATATATATACATTGTATATGTATGATTATTTGGGAGAAAAAAGGAAATGTACTCCATATATTATGTGTTTAAATACATTATATATATAGATATGATTGTTTGGGAGGAGAAAGGAGATGGAATCCATTGTTTGGGAGGAGAAAGGGGATGAACTCCATCATAATTAAGTTGGCCGGAGTGTCCTGGATGAAAGTCCCGAAAGTATACATGAGTGCCGACCCCGCGGATGAAATATCCGTAAAATGACAAATTAAAATTATATATGGGTGCCAATCCCGCAGACAAAATATCCGTAAAATGGCAGTTGGAAGTGTTTGTATGTAAATTGTGAAATTGATGAACTTTTGAGTTGTAGTCTCATTAGGGTTATTGAGAAATAATGAAATTGACTTATATATTTTGAAATGAATTGGAAGAAAGTATAAAGGAGTATGAAATTGGTATTCTATGACAATACAAAAGTATGAATGTTTTATCCCGAGCATTGTATATGATCATTTCACCAATATCTTTGTTAAATCTCATATACTGTGTTAGATTGTTCCTACTGGGCTGTGGCTCATCCTACTTGGGAAAAACATTTTCAGGTATTGATGGCATACCTCCACCAAGGCAATAGCACTGGAGAGACCTTTTGGGAAGCAAGAGCTTCTTGTTTTGTTTCTTTTGTATAGCCTAGGGCTAAGTTTGTACGAGCTAGTCTCACTTTTGTTGTAACCAAGTCAAGACTTGGAAAGGTGTAACCCAGTCAATACTTGGAAAGGTGTAACCCTAAAGGCATTTATTTACATTAGACTCTTTTGTACTATTAATGATATGAAATTAAAGGACTTTACACTCTGATTTATGCAGTTGTTATTTACATTATGGGTTGTATTTATTGTATTATTTTGGGAGCGTTACATCAATCGCAACCAACTATATGAATCCATCGTGTCTGGTTGCTCCATATAAAGCCATACTCTGGTTAAAATCCAAGAGAAATCACTTTTTAATAACAGTCTCAAGTCTCAACCCATTTTTCACCTTCCTCCTATCCTATTAGCACATTCAACATGAGTCAAACCATATATAGGTGTTTTAATTGATCTAGGTGTTTATGAGCAAACTCTATATTGCATAGGACCAACACGTAACCACTGTGCTGCAATAGTTTTGACAACTTCACCTTACCTTATGTTCAATCAGCGCCATTTCTTACTGAACACAAATGCATTCCTCTCTTGTTCCATTTCGTTCTACTAAAACATCCTTATTTCTGCTACACTCAGCTTTTGAACCCCTCTAGCTGGGCAAGTATTTCACAATCTCACAGAACTCCAAATTCACTTTTACTTTTCATAATCCTATTCTAAATCTATCCCCTTTTATGCCAATCAACCTAAAATAGCAGAAAGACAGAAATTATAGATACAAAAAAGATACATATACATAGTATCAGAATCTCACCTTAAGCAGAAAATTTGATCCAGCCACAAGACAATCCATTTCGTCCACCTTGTCAAGGCTAACACCAAGCTTCTCCTTGAAAAGATCTGCAAACTTGTAAGCCCCACCACCTGTGGCCTTCACAAAGATCATAGCTTGTTAATTGAGTTGCAAACATTATAATTCTGAAGTGTGAACCACAAAGATAATTTAACATGGCAGAAAATGCATCATTTATATGCATTACTAATGCTAGGGGTGAGTTTCGTCTTCCAAAGGAAATTGAGTTGCTTCACCGTATTTCATATAGCATTTCAAGAAGTTCATCAACTCAAATAGGGTCATTGCATAACATTGAGAACACCACAACAATTGATGTACAACATCAATGTTGGACTCTGATCATAACTTTAGCTATAAAGTTGTGTGGATGGTTGTGCTACAGTACAAAGTCTGCAAAATGTTCGACATAAATTCTATAAAGCCCAATAAGTCAATTCAACTTTCGGATATCTTGACACCTCAAGGGACTCTCCTAGGTTTCTTTTTGTACACGACGAAAAGCCGTACAGCAACTCATAATTATACTAAAAGCTCAAGAAAATGGAGCTCATTGGAAGTACACATTCATAACTGGTGAAAAACTTAATGCCATTTTCTGGAACTATTTCAGGATGCTAAATAACTTGAGAATAGCGTGCTAAATAACTTGAGAATAGCGTGCTAAATAACTTGAGAATAGCATGCATTTGAGCACGGAGACAGAAGGAATTTTTATGAACAAATGCGAGAAGGCTAGATTAAGGCAGTGACTGCAATGGAGCTTACCTAACCTTTAATTTATTTGCGCCATTCCTAATCAAATCATTCTAGCAAAGGTGTTTAGCATTTAAAAAAGAAGCTCAACTCCAGAGCAAACATGAACAGTAATGAAAAAACGGATTAGTTTCCTGTCTTTCCATTTTTTATTTTTTTTTCATACTTAATCCAGCTCTATATGATGACAAGGATACCTAGCTCAGAGCTATGAAAAAGAACAAGATAAGATAACTAAAAAATCATATTCTGCAACCTCAAAAATAGCTTTACCTTTATTGCTTTCTTGTCATTACCAGAAGTTTCATGATGCCAACTACCTGAATTCATTTTCACCCACAAGCAATCAGATACAAGAATTAAGAATACAACCGGAATACACTACAAAAAAAAAACTCTATCAAGTCTAGCCTATAATAGGAATTCAATGAGCCTCACGTGGGTCCTCAAAATGACTTATAAAGAATATTGAACTCTGAAATAACTCTAATTCCCCATTTGGAACACCTTTTTTTTAGTTTTTTTTTAATATGCTAAAACAATAATGACTTAGGCCTTGTTTGGCAAGGCTATTTTAGCCTACTTTGGGCTAAAATCTACAAAAAGACAAAATAGGCTAAAATAGCTAATAACAAAATATCACATCAAACCCAGAATCATTTTACTTTTTCTCTCACAAATATCACATCCAACTAAAAAAATCCAACAATCTTCCAAAACATAAAAATTTTAGCCTACTAAAATAGCCAAAAACTAAAATAGCCTACTAAAATAGCCAACTTCCCAAACATGGCCTTAGAAAGAGCATCAACCTCTAAAACAAACTCTAGTGCCCCATTTTGGGCAGCTGTTACATTTCTTAGTTCTTCTTTGGACATTTTGCAATGACATATCGTACACCATGATACTTCCTCACAGGGTCTAATTTTTGAATTAGATAAAAGGACAATCTAGTCTAAAATGAAGTGTTCTAACTTATAATTAATATTCACGAAAATTGGTATAGTCAATGCCCTTTGTTTGGGTTTGTTTTTCTTAAGAATACTGCAAGGGAAGATGGATATGCAGCGCTTAGACTTTGTAGCAAAAACTTTTAAGAAAGACATCTGTTTACTTTTATAAGGGAGCAGGTTGTATCTGTGTCTTCTACAAATCATTTCCGTAGTAATTATGAAACAGTTATGGCTCTAAAACAAGCTAAGCTCAAGCTAGTTTGAAGTTTAATTGCATGAAAAGCCAATTTTCAGAAACAATATGCTTGACTTTATACATCATCAAATGGTTGAGGTAGTCATCAACTTTGTTGCCCAAAGAAACCTGCCATATGGGGAGGACATAAAAAATAAATACATAAAGATATCCTAAATAAGACAAAATAAAATTTACAGGTATCATAAAGCTATAGATAATACATGAAATATATTACTGATACAAAATTTCAATTAGCAAAGGTATGGATGTCACAGAGAACTGAATGGTAGGATAGGCCAATTAACCAGATCATGGAGCTAATGAACAAGCTGGAACTCAAACAAACATAAACTCGCCAGGATTAAACAAGCTAGTTGAGTTTGTACTCTAGACCAATCCAGATTCAACCAAAGTAAGCATGGATAACTTAGCAATTGGCTAGTGAGTTTGTTGTCACGCCTAAAGAAGACCATGAAAAACAAATGTGCACTTTTGGGAGTAGGTACCAACCTTCCCCGAATGTGGTTTTAAATGTATCGTACACTCACAGTTTATAAATTTGTAACAATTCCATTTGAAGTTGCAATGGTAACAAGAAAGACCATACCACCGTGGTGAAGCTGCTTTGATAAAATAAATTCTACACAGTCATTGATCTTGTTTGTCTCAAACTTTGCAAAATGGAGCCTCCCACAGATGACTGGATAGTTGCTACTACCATTGGGAACTACCGAACATTCCTTTGAATACTTCTTTTCCTTATCATCAATCCCACTATTATGGTTAATTGAGGAATACACCAATTTGATGAGAGAGCCTGCCAACAAAAACCCAAGTTACCATATACAGCCAATCTAGAACACTGAACACGCAATCAAGATCACTGAGAAGACACTTAAAAGTCAGTTCAATAAAAAATTCGTCAAAACTTTAACTTCTAGTTGGAAGTATGGACGATGAAAATGATAACCCAACATGCTTACAAGTTACAACAAGTCATCTTGTAAGCATTACATCGTAAAACTCATCACAACTGGAGTATACAAGCCATCATGAATTAGTTTCACTTTAAAAATGCACTGGAATCTGGTAGAATTACATAATCAATTTGTCAATGGAAAAGTAAAACTTTAGAATTCATTGAGTACGAACATAAATTGGCAACCTAAAAAATGGTGCAGCACAAAGAGAAAACTTGAATATGCTCGCTTTCTATATGCACAGCTACGAGTAGACTATGATTTTTTAAGGGGGCAAAGGAGTAAGAGCAAAAAGAGGCTGAATGAATTAACTTTATAAACTTGTCTTTTTATGTAAATTCCAAGTAGAGCCACGAACAATAAGACACAATCTGAGCACCACCACCAAAGAAGCCGAACTTTTGAAGGAGTGATGACACATTAAGGCCCCAATTAGGTTAGGCGGAGAGAGTCCTAGAAAGTGAATGAAATGAAAAATAAGTGCAATACTGCAACTTTCTTGGAAAACACTAAACTTTCTTGGAGTTTGGTTAGCAAAAAAGGAATTTTCTTGCAGAAAAATAGGAAACGTGTAAGTTGTAACTGCTTATTTTTTGGAAAACACTACTTACTGTTTCCTTAAGAAAAGCACAATAGATTTTTTTTTCCAATGAAAGTTGGTCTGAGTCTCTAACTATCTAGATTCCCTTTTATTTCTTCATATGGGTAAGGTTAATTTGAGCACTAAAAATATTTTTTAACTGTCATTTAATTCAAACAAAAAAATGTAATTTTCTTATACAATTCTAGACAAACTTTCCACCCAATCGAATGCACATAAAAAAAATTACTATTACACAAACAAATACATATTCAAACTTACCTTTAGTTTCATTTTCCTTCCATGTCCCTAGTGCGTTCACTTCCCATCATTTGTTTTTCTTTTTAACCAAACTGAGCCTAAAGCAAATAGATAAATTCCAACTTTTGTACGCACCACACAGGCTATCAAGAAAGTCAACGACTGGAATACTGGCTCATGGCTGGATGACAGTGTTCTAACCTCGTAACTGACCGTTGATAAGTGTATAAAAAGCAATGAATAAATAGCACACGGTTCTTGGAAATGAAATATGGATAAAAGCAAATAATGATCATTGATCACACTATAACTAAGTCATAAAATCAACTCAACTCATGTTTGGTTCATTAGAACTTATTCAATATTAACTCATTACGTAAACATTCCAAGCTTAAACATGTAATTGGAGCTCGTTAATTTTACAAGCTCGACTCAAATTCGGATCAATTTAGCTCTGACTCGACAAAAACTTGTTTCGATAACTCAAAAACTAACAAACTAAGTTTTAACGCAATTTGAAGCTATTTAAGTTTTTTCACAGCCCTAACTACAGCGATCACACAAACTCAGGAATGACGAATCGAAAATTCCAATTACAGATCAATCAAACAAGAAAACAACATTCATATATTGAAATTTTGAAATTGGAAGAAGAATCGTAAGAAAAGAAACGGTAAAAATTCGAGATCACCTCCAATGTCAACAGCTAGGTGTGACACTTCATCTGCTGATAGCGTTGGAGACACAATCTCCGAATCTGGCTCCACCAATCGCCCTCCTTGCATTCCAACCTCCATCACTCTCTCTCTCTCTCTCTCTCTCTCTCGTGATTGATCTCGTTTTCAACCTTTTCTCTCAACTGTCTCTCTCTCGCGCGCGCGCGCGCTCTCTCTCTATATATGTATTGTGATCGAAGTGTGCTTAGAACGCAAAACGCATCTCTCTCCACATTTTGACCAAACATAAACAAAACAACAAAAAAAAATCATCGCCACCTAACCCCTCAACGGGGAGAGGAGATAAGGCGCAATGCAATGCCATTCGGACTTGCTATTTACGCTGCCGCCTACCAAATAATTATTCACCAAAAATGCTTTAGAGCTCTAAGACCATCTCCAATGCACTAGGCATATAATACTTGTTAGTTAAAATGCCTAGTGTGATTCACTTTTTTCAATTCCAACGCACTAGGCATATGATTAGGCATTTTGGCTCAACTCATATTCACTAGCTACATGTAGCTAGCCTTCAACGCTAGGCAAAATGTATTCAATCATTAGGATCTGTTCCCTCCATCTTTGTTGTTCACGTGGCATTCTATAAAATTAATAGTATTTGGATTAATAGCTAAAATAAAGAGCATGGTTGGAGTAAAAACATAAAACAGTTGATAGGCAAAATAAAATATATACTTTATAGTAATATTTAGATAGGTAAAATGCCTACTACCATATAGGAGCTCTAATAGTTCTAATGGGAATGTGGGACCTACTCTGATGTGATGTTTGTGCCTTGCTTTGTTTTTTTTTTTTTTTTTATTGCTTGGACACATCACTAGAGCGCAAATTAGAGCTCTAGATTTAGAGCTCTCTAGCATCTCCCATTATTCACTAATCTGATGGGATGGGCAGCTTCAAATAGTCTAAGGCCCGTTTGTTTGGGCTTACAGGGTAGGAATTAAGTTTGATAGTGTGATGGGATTATTATATGAGATATTTATTTTGAGAGATTAAGAAAGGAATTCTAATCTTTTGATATTAGTAAAGGTGTTGAAAGGGGGATTGAGAAGGAAGAGGTAGAGATGGTATTAGAAAAATAGTGAGGAGATTAGAAATTTTTTTATTTATTTTATTTTTTATATATTGGGAATTTGTTTTAAAATATTAATGTTTAATTTTTTATATTTTTTTATTTGTTTTATTATTTTATATAAAAATAATTTAACAATTCCTACACTAACAACTATCATCAAAACAAACATAATTTTACTTAATCCCCTCACTATTAATCCCCTCACTAACAATCCCCTCACTATGAATTCCCTCCATTCTACCTCTAAAAACACAACTATCATCAAAACAAACACAATTTTACTTAATCTCCTCACTAACAATCCCCTCACTATTAATCTCCTCACTATGAATCCCCTCCATTCTACAAACGGGGCCAAACTTCTTGATATTGACAATATATTCATGTTAAAACAAATTTTATAAATTTTTGAATAAATTATAATTTTTAAAAAAATAAAAATTTAGGGATTACTTGGAGTGTCATAAATAAGTGTACTTTTTTATCTTTTTGGACTAAAGCCTTATTTGGCATCATCTAAAAAAGTCAAAAAGTCACTACTTATTTAAGTCACATCATCTTATTTAAGTTATATCACCTCTCTAACACATCACTTCAAACTCAACCCATATCCAACTCATATTTCATAAAAAGTCAAAAAATACACTTATTTAGATCATCTTAAACCACTCCTAAAAAATTAAGAAAAAACAGATAGATGTTTGGGTTAACTTTTTGCCTTTTTACGAAAAAATGTGTAATAAAAAATTGTATAAATAAGTGTATAGGAGAAATTTAAGTGTAATAGATTGTACAGCACCTTTTTTGGATAAGGACATGATTGCCGCCTTCACGGACAACCATTTGAACTGTACTGTTTGGCCCGTGGGGCCCACCAAGAGTTTCATTTTGATAATCTGAATTTTTTAATATGTAAAACTCGTCGAGTACTATATACTTATAAAAAATCACATTAATCGGATATCGAAATCAAATTGATCGAATTAGTTTTTGTTTACCAGTTAACTGTAACACCATTTGTTTTTTTATACAAAACTACTTTGATCATATAGTTAGCGATATCCAATCAACGTGATTTTTTACAAACATATAGTACTCAACGAGTTCTACATATTGGCCCCGTTTGGTGTAACTGTTAAAACAGCTTATAGATTATAACTTAACAAATTATAGATTATGACTTTAATCAGAAGTTGTTAATCTGTTTGGTGTACCTGTTGGATTATAGATTTAAGTTGCTGAGTAGTGTTTGTTAAATAAGCAAAACTCGTCGAGTACTATATACTTATAAAAAATCACATTAATCGGATATCGAAATCAAATTGATCGAATTAGTTTTTGTTTACTAGTTAACTATAACACCATTTGTTTTTTTATGCAAAACTAATTTGATCATATAGTTAGCGATATCCAATTAACGTGATTTTTTACAAACATATAGTACTCAACGAGTTCTACATATAAACGACTCAGATTATCAAAATGTGACCTGTGGTGGCCTCTACAGGCTGAACAGCACAGTCAAATGGCTGCTCGCAAAGGAGGCAATCATTTCTAGACCAGTACAGCAGACTAATCACGCGGACAACCCATACTCTAGCAAAAAGTTGAGTTGTATTTTTTTATGTGTAAATTTATTTTTTTTGTATATATATATATTTTTTTGTGAATAGTGATAACTTTTTAACTTTTTAAGTAACTTTTTGACTTTTTATCTTTTTCAAGACATGCCAAACTAGGCCTTAACATTCGTAACAAAATAAATTTAATTTTAAATTTTATTAGTTTAAAATTTAATCTTATAATTTATTTTTAATTTAAATTATTTATCTATTTTTATTGAGTAAAATTATCCCCAAAAAACTGATATTTTTGTCATTAATGTCATTAAATCCATTGAAATTGATATTTAAGATATTTTATGCATTTTTATATTAAGTTTAATGGCTCAAATATTCATTTTTCATCAATTTTATTTAACAAAAATAAATAGATGGTTTATGTTGAAAAAAATTAAAAAATATATATTTAAATTGATAAAATTAAAAATTAAAAATTTATTTTGTCAGAACATCAACATCAAACTGGTTATTTTTATTTTTTTTAACTAAAATAGTGAACAAAACACTAAATTTCATCTCTATCAAATTAGTTATCAAATTAGTCATCAAATTAGTCATTTTAGCTTTGATTAGGGGCGAAATCAAGATTTTGAATTGAGAGGGCCAAAATATATATTCTCCTTCAGATTCTTCTGATAATATATATTTTTTACAACAATACAATTTTAAAAGCCTAATTGATGTATATATATTTTATTATGTTACGTATTATTATTTAATACTGTTTGTTTTGATTATTTTTTTTCTTAGATTTAAGTCTTGTAATATTCATGATGTTAATTATATAATAATAACAAACTATGGTATTCATATCCTCTTAAAAAAATACCATAATTTTATTGATTTTTTAAAATATAAATTATAATTGATATTAATAAAATATGTTACTACAGTAATATAAAATGAATGTTTATAAAGTCTTTATCATTGCACTCATTTAAGAGGTGAGTGGAGAATGAGGATCTAATAAAAAGCATAGAAATATGTAGCATTCGGGCAACAACGCTGGGGACCCCAGTGGGGTGACCCCCGGTGACCTCTCGGTGTCACATGGCAGTTGGTTATTGGCTAAAATTAAAAAAAAAAAAGAAAAATAATTTTTTTGGCCAATCAGGAAAGACTCTCAGCATCCCTACTGGGGTCTAAGTCATTTTTCATGTAGCGGGTGAATAAAAATGATGATATATATTGTACAATAATGTTAAAAACAAATAAATTTGATATTGAAAAAGTATTAAGAAAAATAATGCATTAATCTCCACCATACAAGAATTAAATATAAATTACATATTTTTTTTATAAAAAGTTTATGAAAAAATGTATAAAAAAATATAAAGAATAATATGATAACTTATAATAAATTTTTAACTTTTTAACTAAAAATTAATCTTCCCAAACAAGTCATCACTAGATTGTTAGTCCAACCTCACGACATTTGGACTAAAACAAACGAAAAGCGGCTCACAATAAAAGGGTGTTTTGGAAAGATGATAAAAAGTTTACTTTTGATTTTTTGCCAAGTTTTTTAAATTTTTTTAGAAAATGATTTGGGAAGTTGGTAAAAAACTGCTTTTGGCTTTTTTAATTAATATTTGTTTATGATATCACATCACAATCAAATGGCCAAAATACCCCCACCAAATTTAGTAAATTTACATTTTCACGCATGTATAACCCTAAACAACATGAAGGGTATAACGGTAATTTCACATGTAGCTTTTTTAGACTTTCCAATGACTTCTTGCTAAAAAAGCCAATCTAACTTTTTACCACCAAGCTGCAAAACGCAACTTTTAATCTTGGTTTCCAAATGGGCACAAAATATATATTCTATCTTTGTTCATTTTTATTTTCACACTATCTAACTTAGGACTGGTTTGGCATACCTCAAAAAAAGTCAAAAAATCAAAAATTTACTAAAAATGTTAAAAAGTTATTACTATTCACCCAAAAAAAATATTAAAAAATTAATTTTTCAAAAAAAAAATACAACTCACATGTCACGTGAGTTGTACTTTAGCTGCCCACCGTTTGTACAAAGGGAACAGGCGGAGAAGAAAACAAGACGGTACAATCTGAACCGTTCAATATGTAGAACTCGTTAATTAATATATGCCTGTAAAAAATCACGTTGATCAGATATCGCTAACTGCATGATCAAATCAGTTTTGTATAAAAATGAATGGTGTTATAGTTAACAATTGACAAAAAAACTAATATGATTAGATAGCTAGCGATATTCGATTAACCTGATATTTTACAAGCACATAGTACTCAACGAGTTCTACACATTGCACGGTTCCAATTAGCAAAACAGGATCCATGGTGGGCCCCCACGGGCTGAATAGCACCGTCCAATTTAATGCCCGAAAAGGAAGCAAACTTCTCCTATACACTACTCTGCCCACCGTACTAGGAATGGCAACGAGGGGGGGCGGGGCCGGGGACTACACTCCCCGACCCTGATCTCCGAAAGTGAGATATTCCCCGTCCCCGTCCCCGCCCCCGATCCCCGATGGGGACCCATAGCCCGCCCCCGTCCCCACCCCCGATCGGGATCGGGGATCCCCGATCCCGAAAAATCCCCGGTGATATATATATTTT